AGACCGAATGTAAAACGCAAACGGGCGTGGGTCGAATCGCAACGGCGACCTTTGGATCGCGAGCCTCCGCAGCGTGCTCGAAAACGCGTTGCATCACGGCAGCATCTCTGAAAAATACAGTGATGGAGAAAAACTGAAAAAAATCCCAGCCTCTCACCACTGTGGCCACTTGGGAGCCTGTTGGGCAGATGGCTGGTGGAGCGCGTGGGGGGGTGGAGAGGAGCGAACGCACACTGTGTTATGAGCCACATCGTCTTGACGAGGGCGTGGGGGTGGAGCCCGGTGAGCGGCACAACTGTGCACGACTTGGGGCTGTTGTTTTTTACCACGGAGGTATGCGGCGCGCGGACGTAATTTCAGAGATGCCAAAGCAAAGAGCCGCCCGTGCGTGTTTGAAAGGAAGCTTTGCCCAACGACTGATGGAGCGCTGCGGAATACAGTACATGTGTACGTACGGAGAGCATGTTGTCGCAAGAATGTTTTCGTTGTTTTTTCTCGTACGTTCGAATAATGGCAAGCCTGTATTGTAATTCAGCTGTGACCATTTAAATTAAAATTAGTGCATTTTTTTAAAAGCACGTTTCAAGGATGCAAGGCGCATTGCCAGTAAAAGCGGAACGTCGTTGAACCAATGTTGGCCTCGCGGTTCCAACCACGTGCCAACGTTGGCCCAACGTTGACCCAACGTTGGCACGTTTACTGGGCCATCGCGGTGCAAGACTGGTGGCGGCACTGCCAGCCGGTTGCTCAATTTAAGGATATTAACATCGCTTGGGGTTGTTGGGCAGTACACTTTGTATTTTGCATACACGCATGCACAGTCATGATAACACAGAATGGTGACCGCAGTGGTTATAGTGAGCACACGTGCCCGATGTGAACCTGGCGAGCTCGCCACGGCTTACGTGAGTGACATTCAAACGAGCCCTGTGCCCTCCACTCCACCGAACCCGCACCGACCGGCGCGGCAAAGTACGGTCCAACAGCTCCCCAGAACCGATACGGAACGGGAGGGCGGCATTCAGCGGCGCATCGACGCAAAAAAACTGACTGGAAAAATGATTGCACTGTACCACGGTACGATGTGTTCTTTTGTTTATATTCCGTGCTGTATTTACCGCCGTCTTGGTTGAGCGCAGCGGGTAACATCGCACGGCGGACGCACTTAGGGGCCAACTGACGGGCCGAACGGCAAGGTCGGCGCGAAGGTCATGTCCACCTGCGTTGCCATGCCGCGCGCGGCGAGGACCTTTTGCAGCGCCTGCGTCAACTGGACGCGCGTCAAATCTGCCGGGCGGTAAAAGCGGCAGCGCGTGCTATCGTCCGCGTTTATGCGGCGTGAAAGGGTCACTGCCGGGCGCCGGCCATAAGTTTCACCGGTCGGTTACATCACGGTGTGTTGTCGTAGCTCTGTGCAATCGTCGCATAGTCGGAACTCGCCGGGAGACCGGAGGGTCTGGTGTACAGGCGGGCATCTGAAAGGTTGGGATATGTGAACGTCTGTAGAAAATTACCACAAACGTCAGGAGCGAGCTGCCTTTGAAACACGGGGCGTTAATTCACTGTACTTGAGAAACAAGTGAATGTATGCGTCAATAAGAGCACAATACTCTGTGTGAAATGGTCTGTTGTGAACATAGACTGTACGTATATCAGTATCCTTATTTCAAAGCTCGCGGTGGAAGCATCCGAACTCTCGGCATTAGGATGCATCGCATCATCTTGGTAGCATTCTCATTTTTTTACATTTTTATCACCACCCATTTCTGATGAGTTTTCATGATCTAATCTTTTGCTGCATTATAGGAAATGAGAGTTAGGTTTTTGTGAATAATGTATGCTTTTCTCACTTTTTTATGGGGCTCTCTAAAGCTTCCCTCTCGTGGAGGCCCATCCGCCAGCAGTGACGTGAGTAGGATATTCTAGGGCTGTAACTTTATATTTTCACCTTTCTACTTTTACTGCAGCACTGTACGACTATCTACGATTTAGCACCACTGCTACCTCCGCTGCCTCCGAGCAAGACAAATGTGAAGTATTCATTGCGCAGTTCCGCTGAACGGGCGAGGCCAAGGCACGGTCGTGCCGAGACCACTACGGTTCACGTGGGTCCGTGGTGATAAAGATGGAAAGATACGTGGCTCTGAGATGCTATCGCTTTACCGGAACACGATGGCAAAACAATGTTACGAAATGCTCTGCGATGTTCCGTTGGCTTCAGCGCAGCTGCTCTGTTTAAGTTAAGCAGCGTGTAACGCGTTGCTGCGTTCTTTGAGTTAACGACGTCTGGGGAAAGGCCCGACGCATTCCTGACTCTCAGGTAATGGTGCTACTTTAAACAAGCGTTTTTTTCAAGGGTTGTTAAAATGTTTTATTGGAATTACCAGGAGCCACATGACAAGAACGGTAAGAAATCTCCCAGACCGGTTTGCCGCATGTAAAGACTTCTCTGGCAATGCACATAACGTCATGATATGACGTTTCACTCAAAGCGGTTTGATAAAAAACGTCGTGCGTTGATGTTGAATTCAGTAATGAAAAGTCTTTAGCCACCACTGAGCTTAATTGGTCAGAACGTAATCGACCCATCGGCCACGTATCGTGCATATAATAACGTCTCTGTAAACGTGACAATCTTGTCGGGTGGTGGAGGGTTAATGACACGATTATTTGAGTAAAACTACCACATGGCCCAACCCAAAAAAATGTATGTGGATCGTTGGATTGGTTGCGAAGAAAAACCTACAATTTGTAAGTTAAACGTACCATTTTTACCCTTTGTAACCGAGAAACGAAGGGAGATGTCGTGGTGGTAACGGTCAGCGTGCTGGACTTGCAATCCAGTGTTCGCCAGTGCGATTCCATCTCCCGGCACGGCAGTTAACAACAGGGAGTTACGTTTCTTAAACTGGTACATTCATTACTAAAATACTTACTGGAAACGGTTACCGTTTCCTGCCTTTTGGAGCGGTAATCGAATCTGGAAATGGTTACTGATTTTGCGGGTTATGGATTTACGACCATAAATTTCACCCACAGTATTCAGAAATGGAATTAGCGTTGGATGAACATATCAGAAGTGCAGAGATTCGTTGTACTTCGCAAATATAAGCAGACCCTCTGGTCTATGTTTCCAATATACAGTACTGTACTTTAAACAAAAACAATCATCAGCTTATTGGCATTCCAGACCAATATTATCACGCAGTGTTCGTTTAAGCAAGCACATTCTGGACTGGTTTCGATCTTCAGGGTCGCGTCAGCAGTCGGGCGCTTTCAACAAATGCTCGTGGATTACCGGATGTTATTGGCGAGAACACTTTCTGTAAAACATGTGACCCCAATCAACGCAAAAAGCAAATGCCACACGCAAAAGCATTATGCGTTGCCATGGAGCATGACGTGCAAATGAGATACAGTGCAGGTATAAGCAGAACTCCGGGCCTGTTGAGACACCGCCCTCGTTTTACATCTCAGTGGTGAAATGTTATCTGCGAGATGTTATTTTCCTCGCCTGGTATACAGGAGGCCGTGAGTCAGATCCCAAACGCTGACGCCTGCGTGTTTAGAGTTTGCGTGTTCTCCCTGTGGTCGCGTGGATTTTTCTCCGGGCCCTTCAGTTTTCCCCTCCGCATTTAGGAGCATGAGTTTCCAAATGGCTTCTGTAAATTTCCACACGATAAGCCACTTCGTTGAGCTATCATTTGTGGACAGCTCGCTTCTAACCTGGTAAAATAAAAATAGTTTAGAGTTTTTAGTTTACAATCTGGCCTGTGTCCACTGTTGCCAGAGGATTCTTTATACAATGTGTGTCAGTGTCTCTGTCAGACCCCCTGTCATTAGTTTATGGCAATTATGAGATTAGTGGGGCAGAGATAAGTCTCCTTATCAGGAGCCGCCACGACTCAGTGTGGAGGAGCACTGATTGTGTGATCACCGAGGGGCGAGGTGCGGTAAGGGTGGATGGTCCGTTCCCTTCTCACGCACCGGCCGGATTGTTTGCAGGGCCGACCGTTGTGCATGTCAGGCTCGGCTGGCAGCGCGACCTTTGACTTTGCCGGCGTGTCTCGTTTACGCGCGTGCCAGTTCTCCTTGTCGCTTACTAAAGGCGGTCGTGCTCGCTCGGAGCGTTGTTGTGCACGCCGTACGTATGCAAAACCTCTTGGCGAAAGGGCACCACGGTGGTGGCTAGGAGATGTTAACTACCTCGCCTGGTATACAGGAGGTTCGTGGGTTCGATCCCGACCCCGACGCATGTATATTTGGAGGTTGCATGTCTCTCGCTCTCTCATCATCATCATCATCACGGTGGCTAGGAGATGTTAACTACCTCGCCTGGTATACAGGAGGTTCGTGGGTTCGACTCCGACTCTGGGTCCTCCGGTTTCCCCCTCCACATTTAGAATCAACGTGCGTTTAGATAATTTGGCTGTTATACATTTCGGCACGATAAGCCACTTGGTTGAGCTATCATTTGTGGCCAGGTCGCTTCCAAAAAAGAGCTGTATAGCTGAGTGGGCGTTACCCAGTAAAAATAAGAATAATTCGTTTTTAGTTTGGTTTAAGTCGCAGGAAAGCAAAACAATAGACTGTAATAAGTGAGCCCGGCTGGTAATATGAAACTCTCGTGGCAACAAGTCGGGGCACACCGTTCATAACAAATTAAATAAGTTGTAATAAATGAGGCTATTAGAGAATGACATAAAATAATTCCGTTATTGACCAGTAGTTGAAACATATCATTTATTTAAATATAAGCCCGGTGTACCCAATATTCTCGTGAATAAGTGGAGGTATCTGAATACTGTACGTTATTGAACTGTGCATTTTATAAATTATGCAGTACGTGTAATGCACTGACTAATCCCCAAAGGATAATTTGTTCTTAATGGATTTTAACGTGTTTTACCTCTGGAAAATGATACAATGCGAAATGCCCGACCTGACGTGTGGTGCCGCTTTACTTAATGTCTCGTCTGAACATTTTGCTCCTTTTTCAGGTTCAAGAATCGGAACTGAATTCTTCACCCGAAAAATTCAAAAGAGGGCGATCGCTGGCGGCCATCTCCGCGTGCGTCCCGGCGCACGCATTCAGGCGTGCGTCCAGATTGATTGAAAAGGAAGAAGGCGAAGCCGTCGGGAAACGCACGCCTTGTCTTTCGCGGCAGGCTTTAGGACGGCGCCAATAAGCCATGTTGACGCAGACACTCGCGGGCTGCTCTTTCACCTCGCCTTGGGTCTGAAGTCTGAGAGCCTTCTGCGTTTTACAGGCAACGCGTGCGGATCAAAGTTACCGATTCAATTCCACGGACTCGCGCTGGTTAAGGTTCTGTTAAGCTGAGAAGCCACGCGATTGCTTGCATGACCGTTGCAAAGTAAGTACTTTTCTAAATGAAGCACCCTAAAAATTAATGGATACATTACGTAGACGTTACTGCATCGCGGTGGCTTTATCCAAATAAATGGATTGTTTTACATAAGTGTGGGTAAATTGTAGTTTAATTTGCTCTCTTAAAATTCACAAGTGTAGTAAACATGCCGTAGACGCTTAGTCTGCAAGTGCAATCCCTCAGTAACTTAAGTAGCTGTCACTCAGTAACTAAAACTGCCGTCGGTAACTGTCCTTTATAACTCTCCGAGAATGCGGCCGAAAGAACAACCACTGTTCCCCATTTGTCCTTTCACTGTTACGGTCTACGTCAGCCCCAGTTGTTTGTAGGCTAAAGACACATCCAGTAATTATGATGCAGGTTGGAGAAAGTGCTTTGGGAAATGGACAAAAGGGCAGCTTGAACGAGCGAGGGGATGTAAAGAGCCAAGCGGAGGGACTTAACTCGGGCGGCGGCAGACGCTATCTGTCCGACGCCGTGCTCGCGCAACGACGCCTGGACGCGTCGCGCAACTCGAACCCGCAGCGCGGCACCAAGGACCATGACGAGGCGGCCCCCGGAGGCAACGTGTGGATTTCGACGGACTTCGCTCGCAAGGCAACATCGGCGCTCGGCGATCTGAACGCGAACAGCGTCGCCGTCCGCGGAGGAGGGGGACGCGTGGAAGCGTGCACCGGAGCGGAACGGGAGGCCCGTGCGGACGGACCGCCCGCGCGTTTTACGAACCAGGTTGAAGGAGGTACAGCCATGGACGTGAACAATGGTGGAGCGTACGAGTGCGCGAACGCGAAGGTGAGCGGCCAGCAGGCTGATGAGTCGAGTTTTGTGTTTGGAGGTCAGGGTGGTCGGGTGGAAGAGGAGCTGGGAGGCGCTCAGCCTGGCTGTAATTCCGACAGCAGGGGATGCCACGTGGACGAGGAATTCTCGACGTACGTCACTGCCAGCGTTGATGACGACCAGTGTCCAAGTCAGGCTCTGTCGTGCAAAGGAGAAAGCTCTGACCTTGACAACCAGTGGAACGTAGACTTTGATGAGCTGCCCGTTGATAACGACGAACAGAGGAAGCGTGCGAGGCTGGAGCTGGGGCACTCTTTGGATGTTTCGACAACTGGACCAAACATCACGATGGCTGCAGATGATGCCACTTGGTCGACCGACATTTTAAACGACTCCCAAGAGACGTCTGCCTTTGTGGAGATGGGGAGTCGATGCAAACAAAGCCACCTCGTTTCTGACAGTGACCCCGTTTCATCCGACTGCATGGATACGACCGAGGCACACAGTGTAAGCCAGAGTAGTTCAAGGCAGATGAGAGTCCCCAGCGTTTTCCACCAAGAATATTTGGTGCAATCTGTAGGAGGATCAGGCACGGGACGTCTGGTGGGGCAGCGTCACGGACACTGGCAAATTTCTTCGGATGAATGCGACGAAGGCTTCTCATCAATTAATCACTCTCACGGTGGAGTTGTTGTTGATGAAGATGTTCTGGGGAGTTCATCCGATCCAGAAAAATACGAGTCGGGCATTCTGTGCAAAAGTAAAGACGATTGTTCAGAAGCAAAACCATCACGTGCCGAGGACTTGCTGGTGTTGGAGCCCGAAGGCGTTTTGTTAAATGCGTCTTCGTTTCTGGATCACAAAACTAAGATGATCACTCGTAAAGTTTTAACCGAGACGACCACTGGCAATTCTTTAGGTAAACTTGTAGGCGTTGTCGCGAGCGAAGAGGTTGTGCAAGTTGCAGTGGGAGAGGAACGGAGGGCGAACCATGCCGTGGACAGTTTGTACGAACAAAAGTCCGAGGCAGCATTTGTGCCGGACTGGGCCACATTAGAGCACGAATCGATGGAACGCCTTAACGAGACCAAAAATACCAGCCCGGCGTTCACCGCTGCAAGTGATACCAAAGCAACGCCTGAAATCGATGCCAACGTGGACTCACTGCCAGGCTTAGATCGTGAAGTTTTGGGCGCTGCAGAAAATAGAAATCCCGCAGATCAGGGCACTGGCGATAACATTGATAACGACAAGGAAAGCATGTCGGCTGAGAACACTACACTGGACACTTACGATTCGTCGGATGTTTTTCTCGCTCGAGACTACCTGTGCGGCAGCTCCACGGACTGCGTGGAGACCTCCGTGAGTGAGATCAGCAGCTCGTCAGAGTTTGACCATTCAGCGGCGGAGCCGACGATGAAATCCAGCAGGGACGCCGAGCCCGACGTCCAGCGGACGGCCGGGACGTCCACCTCGGGGGCGCTTGCAGGCGAGACGGAGGGGGCAGTAGGTCTGCCGCGTCTCGCCGAAGGCGAGGCGGCGTCGCTGGCATTTCCAAAGCTCAGACTGAAAATGCCTCGAGCTGGAAACGTTCTGCCGGAGGTAGGAAGTCCCCCGGCGCTTGTGCGATGTGAGCATCGCGTGGAGAGTGAGACTCGCATTGAGGATCAGTCGTTTGATGTCACTAGCGACTTAAACACAAGTGGTAGCTTAGAAGTGTACGGTGGTATTCTAACACGGCAAGGGTTTTTGGATATAATGTCATTTGATAGAAATATGTTTCCTTCCTTGCGCATGGAAGCTCCAATGGAAGATATGACCGCGTCCGAGCCGGTGTTTTTGACAGAAGTTGCACTCGAAGTGGAATCGGAGAACGGGGAAATTCAAACGGAGCGGCCCAACGCGATCGAAGCAGGTTTGAACACCAACAAGGTGGACAGTAAAACCGGCTCGCCTATAAAAAAAACGCCGAGGAGATCGATGGCTCGACTGATCGCGAGACCAAGTCCCAAGAACGCCAAATCGAAGGTGGACGGCCAGGCAGCGCATTCGGCCCGTCCGCTCAAACGATCGGCGTCGGTTGTGGAGCCGAAGGTGACGCGCTCCCTGTCGTTCGCCGACTGCCCTCCGAGCTCCCCGGCTTCGCTCAACTCCCCTGTGCCGCGCGGCCCACCGAAGGTGACCACCGCCAACGGCAAGCCGCCGAGGCCGGCGGACGCGATGCCTCCGGTCGCCCAGCGAGGAGGCGCCGGGCGGCCGTTTCCTGCGCCGTCGGCCGGCGGCTCGCACGCGAGGGCGGTGCGCACGCTCAGCTTCGTCTCCCGCATCCCCGGGCTGCGGAGGGCGTCGTCGGGGGTCAGGCTGTCGGCGAGCATCTCGGTGAAGGCCGACAGCAGCATGGCCGAGCAGACGTCGGAGGCGAGCTTCAACTCAATGGAGGTACGCTCGGGACGCGTTGGCCGCGTATGGAACGCGTCGAGGTCGGTAACGTATTGAGGGGCGCCACGGTGGCCAGATGTTAACGACCTGTCCAGTAAGGGGCGGATTGGAACGTTACAACAACAAAAAGTACAAAAACACAATAGGAGTGTTCCAATATGCTTGTCTGCCCAGGAAAGCCTCGCTGAATTTCAGGGTCCTGCCAAGTTATGTTTCAAGTATGGGCTAATGATTGCTGTGCAGATTCCAATTGTGGGTACTTTTTCTAATTTGGCAAATTTGGGCCACGACGCGGGCACGTGGTGGCCTTCTAACTCTAGGGACGATGTTACGGATTTGTTAACATCCACTGTGAAGCAGATGGCATGCATTTTTATGGTAGGGTTATGTTTTTTCCATATATCTTCTATTTTGGCCGAGGTAAAAGGAAGGTCACAAGTCTATATATCTTATCAGTAATACCATGGTTTCTTGGTTTCTTCTGGTCAGAATGAGTCCTTATTTGGCTCCTTATGACCATAATCACCCAAGTACTTGCTACGACTTATTAATAGACACATTAAATGTATTATAGATGTGTGCATGCATTAATGTATGCATGTGTTTGGATACATTTATGTATGTACCCTATGTATTTATATTTAAAAAATTCATCTATTTTGTGTATTCTGTACAGTACATGCAATAGATTACATTTAAATGATAAGAATATTAAAATGGCCCAATAACCTCAGTTGAATAGCATTACCACCTGTCCTGGTTTTCCCAGGATCATCACCTTTTAAGGTAACTGTCCTGGGAAGTCTGGGTCTTTCCTGGGCAATAGAAGATCCAGTTTTTAGTCATTTACCGTGATAATATACGTACACTTTCACTCGTGACAATGCATTTACATGCAGCTCCCCCCCTCTTCCGACTCGTGAGATATTATTCTTCCCGTAACATCTGCTGGTTATTTTTTTCTACCTCGTAGGTGGCAACCCCTAGCAGCGAAACAATAAAGCACATCCCACCGAGGACGCATTCAAGTACCGTGATGGGTTCCAGCAGTTTCAAAACACGTACAGTATCTACTGTAATTCAGTGAGGATTTCTACAATTAAATATTAATGCTGCTTTTTTTCCTCTTTCCCCCACCCCTCTCTCTGCCGCATCCCCATTATCTTCAGAGCGCGAGTGAAACCAGCAGGTCAGCTGAGAACAGCAAAAAAAGTTTAGCCTCCAGCTCGTCGGCCGCGACAGCACCTCAGGCACGGCCTCCGCTCGCGCACCGCCCGGAGCCGGGGCCGCGTGCCGTGCCCGGGTCGGCGCGCCAGGCCTCGCGGACGCAGGCTCAGGCGAGGGCCGGGCTCTCTCCGCCCGGAGCCAGGCCGAAGCAGAATGAGATCCCGATGACCTCTAACCTCGGAGGCGCGGCGGTGGGGAGCGCGAGGCCCGCGGAAGCAGGTGAGAGGGCGTTTGAAGGACGTTTGAGAATCATCTTCTTGGTTTTTTCGGTAAAGTCACGTAGAAATATAATAATAAAGTAATAAAAATAAAACATAATAAAATAATTCTCACGACGTTTCGGCCACAACGCAAGCAGCTGTCCTCAGGTGGAGAACAGGTCTGTCGAGGAGACGGAGTCTCTGAGAATTATTTTATTATGTTTTATATTAATTATTTTATTATTTCCATTCTACGTGACTTTACCGAAAGAACCAAGAAGATGAATCCCTGCAGTCACGAAAGCTTTAAATCGATATTTGACGTTTGAGAAGTTTAACACGTAGGCTTTACCAACAAATTTATATGTAAGCGGTCTGGCCCAAAAAACGCCCCCCCCCCCTCCCTCCTTTATCATGGGTATTTAAGAAGTTCACGAGCACCGCTTGATGTGTCGGATATTGCTGAAATTCTGGGACGGTTCCTCGAACGTGTTAAATGGTGTCATGATGTGTGAAAGTAAATGTTGCAAAGTTCAAAGTGACGATGGTGTAGATATAGCGTTCTTGTGGATGAGGCCTGGTTAGTGAATTAAATGCGTGTTTCAAGGAGTTTTGAGCACGGCTTGAGTTTTAATTCTCACTGGTATTTTTGTTAATTTCCATGAATGCGTTGCACGTGTTATGACGCAATTGTTAAAGAGATTATCGTTTGATGAAGTTCAGAATGATGACGGTATGGAAAGCATTGCTGTGAACATAAAGTCATCGACGCTTTGACAAGAGGATGACCTATTTACTCTTGACGCACACCACTCTCTTTATAAGTGCACTGTTTACAAATCCGATCTTTGTATTGCTGTGCAGAGTAGAGTAGGTGAGGTAAATTTTTGAAAAATTGAAAATAATCATTAAGCGTGATTAGCAGTCACAAGGTAGTGGTGCATGTGTATTAATGTGAGAGAAAAAAAGCAAGACTGTTACAATATGTTCCTGAGAACAACTGTTTGTGGCACATAACGAGATACAAAAACTGATTAGCGTCGGTGTGAAGCAGGAACAGATGTGGTCACGCACAGCCCCAGGACTCTGTGGTCGTGACACACACAGCCACCGGCAGAATGAATTGGAAAGCAGCTGACGCCTAACGTTGTGGCTGTAAATTAAGTAGTTGTAAAATCCAGAGGACAGAAATTCCTTGGCCCGAACGAATTTAAAATAGGTTCTGGCACCACTCTCGTTGACGTGTCTGGGGGGTTGTACCGCGCATTGTTCGGCACGATGTCCGACGTTTTTCTCCATGTGCTTGGGGACTCTTTAGGAAATATTAAATTGGGGATCGTTGGTCTAAATTGTACGCATGTTGAACTTTTTTCGCGCCGTACGTAGCCAACCGTGCGAATCGGGGGTGTGGGGGAAGGACAACAAACTTAACACCAAAAGCAATTCTAAAGAAATGAGTTTTCATCATCTCCCTGTGCATGTGTCATCCTGGACACAAGAGTGATCATGCCACAACAGGATGACAGAGCCTCCTGTTTCATGCTGTTTGGGTGCAGTACAGTATTTTTTAATAGATGAGTTACCCACATGATAATTGGTTCTTTACCCTTCTATCTGGCAACAAAACTGACACCTTTTTGCAAGGAGTCATGTTTGCATAGACCGCAATACCTGCAGTCATAATACAAACAAAAGAACATAACTCTGATAATGTGCACTGTCCTTGAAGTTGATTGGTCCACACCCGAGACAGCTTTCCTTCGAGCCTAGTCTCAAAGGACAGTGCACATTATCAGAGTTATGTTCTTTTGTTTGTATTATGACTGCAGGTATTGCGGTCTATGCAAACATGACTCCTTGCAAAAAGGTGTCAGTTTTGTTGCCAGATAGAAGGGTAAAGAACCAATTATCATATTTTTACTGGCAAATGAGGTCCCCATAGTGAGTTACCCACACTTTACTTCACAATAGTAGGGTTATATAAAAGCAATATCTACGAGTGGAATCCAGTTACTCCGGATTGCAAGTCCAGCGTGCGAACTACTACGCCGTATGGCAACGCCGTTGTTTAATATTGTGCGTTGACGGAAATGTCACGCGTGTAACGGATCAGTTAAAAGAAAACAACAACGTAGAGTTAGAGGGTCAGGTTGCTGTTCAGCCATTACGGTTTCACCATGCTCGGGGCGGGAGGAGTTAAACTGCATGAGCGCGGCGGAGATTGCCGAAGGACTCCGTGATGGCATTGGCCTGTCAGTGGCGATGTTCGTCAAAAAAATCCGATAAGCAGATGCCTTGCAGTCAGTGCGCACTGTCTCCGCGCCGTGCCGGTGGCTGTTGCGACGATCACTTCGGTTTCACTCGCGCCCGGCGCCGTTACGTGCGGCTTACGCGTTACCGAGCGTTTTGATTCGCGTAAGCCTATAATACATTCACGCGTTTAGGAATCCTGCTTTTTTTTTTCTTCATTTCAAGAACGGCTCTCCCATTGCCTTTATATTTTTAACGATGGTAAAAAAAGTAACGCCACCCATGTCGGTCGCTTTACGCGGAATGCAGCGGCATCGGCAGACTTGCTCTTGGACGACGAGACCCCACCGACACCGACCGACCCACAAGCGAACGGACGGAGCTATTTGTGGCGTTCGTGGATTTCCAGGGGCTTTTTTTAGGCCCCCGGGCGGTCGTGGGCCCCTAGCTCCACTTTGCTAAGAACATCACCGCAGCACGCTGACGCTAGGGCGAGGGCCGGAGGAGTTTGGCCAGCAAAGCCGAGGCGCGATGTAATTTTTTTTCTGCATCTCGACCCCCCACGTGCGCCACCCTTTCCGGTTCGCACAGGTGGGGGTGTTGATGGGGGGGGGGGGAGTCTCTACAGCCGTTCAGAAAACATTGTGAAGTATTTCTTGTGCGGCCAGCCATGGGTTTTGCCGAAAAACAATGTAAAGGGGGCAATCTGCGGAATCACCACGTTCGTTAATTCTCCTCCGATCTGCGCCAGCATTCATAGAGATATCGAATTGATCGCCGCTTGCCATCGGTGAGGTTTGTGTAAGAAGTCTTAAGCGCATTACACTGATTAATTTTTGTCTGTTAACAAATACACCTCGCCCTGACTTTGTGTTTTATAATAGAAAATGCCATATATTGAACATTGCAACGTAATTGGGATATTTCTTTATGTTTGAATATGAAGGCTCTAGCTTGGTCACAAGCAAAGTATTTGATTGATTGGTCATTTGTCCCGGAAGTAGGCCACTTACATCCCCACTTTACTGTAAAACCCATGGCATCGTCGCTCTACTGATTGGCCGATTTTGCCGGTGCACTGTTAGGTGAGGCTGGTTTTCATTGACTGCTGCGTTGACGTCCGTATCGGTTCGCCCCGCTCGGCTACTTTGGTTGCAAAATACGAAAACGTCCGGAGCTCGGCTGGAATTGATCCAAGCAATGTGCGTTGGTTTGTGCCAAAGCGACCAATTCTTCGGCTGCCACCGTGTCAACAACGCACACTGCACGGGACAGTTGGGGTAATCATCGCAGCTGTTTCTCCCCCTTGTTTGTAACAGCAGCCGGGCCAGAAGAGCAATGCAATCCCTGGTTGAGCGTTTGTTTACAGAGCCCTTCCAACTGTTTGCCCACACTCTGCCTACTTAAGTCTGCTCATTCATTTATTTATTCCTCTACCGCTTCCACCGCCACCGCCAAGCGCGTTTCTGCGGCGACGCCACTTGCAACGCGGCTCCTGGCGATGTCAATCGGCGCAAAGCCCCCCCCCCCCCCACACCATCGGCGTGTGCCTCGGCAGGACCAAGCAGGACCCCGGCACAGCCCGGCACGGCCGCGAGCGCCGGCAGACCTCCTCGGGCGAGAGCCGGCTCCTCGCTCCCGGCGCCGGCAAAATCGACGTCCGCTCGGTGCCTGCCGACCGCCGCGGCGCCGCCGCCGTGGGGCACTTCCCGGCCGTCGTCCGCGACGGCTCCGGCTCGGGCGCCCGGCCCACAGCAGTCCGGCCCCTCGCGGCCGCTCCGCTCGTCGGCCGCGGGGTCGCGACCTCCGCCCGCGACTTCCGCCGCCGCCGCCGCCGCTCGTCCTCGCAGCGCCAGCAGCTCGTCCGTCGGCAGCAACCAGAGCTCGGCCAGCAGGGTCTCCAACGGTACGTTCGGCCCCGTCGCCGCCGCCGCCGCGCGTCGTGTGCTCGCGATGAGCCACCGCCGCCGCTGCTGCTGCCTGCGGAGGTGTTCACGGTGGTGCTCTTAGGCTCTCGGGATGGTTTTTTTTCTCCTCTCTAGATGGTTGGAGTGTGTCGGCGAATGCGAGCCTCTTGACAGCCCCTTGCTAGTTTTTCACGGGACTAACGTCTGTGGTTTGTGTTGTGTTTTGAACAAATGCATTTGTTGAACCAGTTTTATTCCTTGTCTTTGGTTTGTATAAAGATTAACCCTTGCGTGTCTGATGATGGTTAGTTTAGCTTAATTTATTGATGTTTTTTAAAAAAGAATTTGTGAGAAATATGCGATGATAAATTAACTGCAATGCCAGGCAACCTCCTGGCTGCATGTTTAAGGGCATTGTGTTCTTTTGTATTTTTAGCTTGCCTCATTGAAATGTGTCTTAAATCCCTCCGTGATCCCCTCAGCATTTGGAGCCAATTTTGAGAAGCACGCTAACCTGCCCTTTTTCCCCTCTTGCATAGCTGCTTTTCTGCAGAAAGTTTTCCCTGGCCAAGCAATTTCCTGAGACTTGAATGTCCAAATAAAATCCAAAGGGGCCTTGTTTTGAAGCCACAGGGTGTAGACAGATGTATTGACATTCTTCTTTAGTTGTGGTTAAAGATTCCTGAGTTAGTAACCGCTTTGCAGTTTGACTTGTTGGACTTTGGATGCCATGAAAAGCAAACAAACCGAGCACGTGATTCACTCACTGTTGTATGAAAGCACGTGCTCTACATTGCAACACTATTGCTCAAAGTCGCTCTACAATTTCCCGCCCCCCCCCCTCTCAATTTGATTGTCAGTTGTACGTAGGAAGATGTAAAGCAGCAATGTTCCATTCAAAGCTTGTAATAAACACGAGGTTTAAGTTTGCGTTTTTACCGACTGACCTTCAAACCAAATGTTATAATAATCGTAGCAATGAATTTCCCTTGTAAATCTCACCCGAGTCTCAATACTCTTTCAAGAGGGTCCTGCATTGGGATGTTTGGCCAGGTTCTATTGATTTTCAAGCCAAAGTAATGTATTTGCTCAAATGAGCATTGAAGCAGTGTTCATTATCTGCTTCATACCTTTGAGCCAGTGGTGATGGAAATGTTACACGCCTCACTCCTCTTGCGAGTCTATCCATTGGACAACCACTGTTGACTTCCTCACAAAGTGGTGACCCGTTTTGTCGACCCCGGAGGGATGATGAGCCGAGTGAAACCCAAACCAGGAGTTGAACTCGCAACCCTTCAGATTGCGAGCCGCTCACTCCACCGCTGAGCCACTTGGCCGCATTTGATACGTAATTTTTAAAATTCACTATTAATGAGCGTTTGGCGTCGCGTGGTAGGACATCGGAGTACTGTACCCGGAGAACACTCGGCACGCGTACGAGGGGGTAACAACGCAGCACCGCTCCAATCCCCCGCGGCTCTGGCAAAAGCTGATGGTCACCGGCCATGAGCAGGCTGCACTCTACTCGGCTCCCAATATCCGATGAGAAGAGTGTTTGTTTCGGACGATTCGGTCGCAGTCATCGGACAATTTTTTCGATCGAAAAAAACACGCGAAAAAACTTGAGCGTGTGTTTTACGAACGGCGCTGTTATCTTTTCCCGGCGCTCATTTGCAACGCACTAACACCTGCGAACCCCCCCCCCCCTCCCCTTGCCTGCTGTGTTGCTGTGCACCGCTAACGCCTGTGCTGTCTATTCTCTGCATGTGCTTGCGAAGCGTCTGTCCAACCTGCCAGGCGAGTCTGGGACATCCGGGCACGCATAACCTTGCCGCAGTTTGTCGGTGAGATTCTACTAACCCCTCGCTGTCCCAACACCTACCCCTTACTCGCTTCCTCTCACGTGCATATCGATTCCCCCCCACCGTAGAGCCTCCACAGACTGTTGGGGTAAGTGCTGTTAGCGAACGCCTATTAAGGTCGGCGTGGTAGAAGAAAGTTGCAGCATGGCCAGCACCACGCCTCATTGAGTTTGTCTTCCCAGCGCTGATCGTTACACATTGCACCGGGCACTCACACAAGGCTGTGTCGAGCTATGGATGACCCAGGGCTGGTTCAGATATCACCGCCGATGTTATCGATGGCTGGGAATCGAATCCAGATCAACCGCGTTGTGCGGTGCTTAAATCAGTGCACTGTTGCTGCCGGTGCTGAAGTCACTGATATCACGAAATAAAAATAATATATTATTTACTGATATCACTGCTCTTACGGCACAGAGATGCATTAAGCATATTCCCACGAGGTCCTATTTACTGGTAAATTATGTTCAAGGTAAGTGAATTACTTTTGAGTTTTGGGCCAGATTCAAATCTTGATTAGACGGCGGAAATATTGCCCTTGCGATTCACTCCACTTTAGGAGATGGAGACGTTGGTACATTTTTTTTGCCAACGATTGATGGAACATTCATCAGCTTGGGAATAGGGCCCAGTGTCCTCTTTGTAAGTGGTTCTTTGCAGAGCACGGTAATCTTACTGCTGTCCAAACGTACCTCTTCGTGAATAACAATAATAATTGTACAGCTCGTTATTAATGCCCTGCTGGATGAAGGCCTCTCCACATCTGTTGTTATTGAGGGTTGTTTGACCATACCTTGCAATGCTTGTTGGTGCGGGTTGGTGAAGGGGTAGCTTAGTGGGGGGAGAGGGGGGAGGGGGGAGTGGAAGGGGGCCCTAACCGGTTCAGGTTTCACTCGCCACCGACGTGTTTTTAGCCATGGCCGGCAATCGAAATCAGTTTAGGGCATTGCACTATGAACCTTGTAGGTCATTTTGGTGATTTAGATTTTAGGCACGAGGTGCCCTTGCCACGTAGCAACCCAAGGGGCTCGCTCGGCAGTGATCGTGGTTTTCAATCCTTGGGTCAGGACTGAGGGAGAGAGGAAAACGCGGCGGCCGCCAACTTTCTGCGCTTGGAACGAGAAAGTCTTCCGGGGATTTGCAACTCACTCGGCCGATGATTGTGGGGGGAGAGGGGCGGCGGTGTGGTGTGGGGGAAATGTTCCGCCGCATAATTTGGCCAAGGCTCTTCTGCATTTGGGGCATGTTCATAAGGCAGGCGGCCAACGGTGCCTGCAGATGCCCTCTGCTGGCCGCCACCGCGGTACAATGGGCGTTGTTTTGTGGCACAAAACGGATAGGGGGATCGTAATGGCACAATCGTGGCATTGTTTGGCCCCGGCAGATTTGTGACACTGGAGCTTCTTGTCACTGGGGTCTGGAGATGCCCTGCTGTTCTGTGTTCCCCGAAATGAGTTTAGATGGGACAGCACTTGTGCTGCCAGAGTCACGCGAGCATGTCTCGTTTTATCCAGCGTAATCCCAACATTTGAACGTTTATACTCTTGCTTTGCTTCGTGGTGTCTCTGGGATTGACACTGCCTCGGTAATCCTCGGAGCGCGAGTCTTGATGTGCATGCAACGAAAATGCCGATTTTAACGCAGCAGAGATTTCCGCTGGCGTTGTTAATATCGCACGTTTTGCACAGCAAAGCCCTCCGTAGGCCACACACCAGGACATAGTGTCCTTGTTAAATCTTATCTTGGCCACGCCCATGTTTTCAAAGGCAGCATTAACTAGAGCTAATAATTATCCTTTCATTTATTGAAAGCGTGTATCCTAAATGGGGATTGCTGCCAAAGGCCAGCATGCTGAACTGGCAGTCCAGAGGTCACCAGTTAATATTCCATCTCCTGGAGTGGCAATTAAATCCCCCTGCCTCTGTCCACCGAGCAATATAAGTGTGGGTACGTTTGCTGTCGATCGGCAGGTCGTGTGTGGTGCGAGAAAGTGTGGGTACACATCCGGCCAGCATGGAAGAATGGCACAAATACCTTCTTAGAGGGGGGGTGGGAGGGTGGTCTACAGAGCTTCTTCTACCGCAGGACCTTTCGCCAGCACTTCCGTGAGCAAATCGATTGAATACGAATTGTTATCTACCTTTCCTGTTATACAGGAGGCCGTGGGTTCGATCCCCACTCTGACGCCTGTATATTTGGAGTTTGCGTGTCTCTCTCCCCGTGGTCACGTGGATTTTTCTCCAGGTCCTCTGGTTTTTTCCCCTCCTCATTTTCGAATCAACATGCATTTTTTTACTGCTATAAATGTCCACGTGATTAGCCACTTCGTTGCACTATCATTTGTGGCCAGGTCGCTTCTGAAAAAGAGCTGTATAACTCAGCGGATCTTACCTGGTAAAATGAAAAATACTTTAGTCTTTTAGTATAGTTTTGCTTGAAGGTGGACAAGTTGCCGTTAATCAGAAAGCCTGAAGGCGAGGGAGCGAGGCTGTTCGTCAGGTAGCTCGCGTGCGACCTTTGACCCTCCGCCGCGTACACCGTCGACAGGGCGGTGAGGCTGAAGGTTTCGAGGTCTCGAACGGGCACCACGTGCGCCACAAGACCCCATCGTGGCTGTGTAACGTTGCCGTGCCGGCCTGCCCTGGGAAAATGTGAGGCTATTTTTACAGCGTTGGCTTGGCACGGGTCGCACGCACGGCCAGACATTGTCACGTGTTCCGGCATTCATGTGGCTCGCGGGGCTTCGGTGGGGGCAGGGCGGGGTGGGGGGGGGGGCGCTGGCACTTGTATTTGTACATCTGATGTAATTGCGTAAATTGTATTTGCCGTGCCTTTATTTTTACATTGGTTCATGGTCATTATTTGAGGCACTGAGCTCACTTAGGCCAGCCGTGTCATTCAACATTAATCAGCTAAGTGTACATGTTCTGCCCTCTGTCAATCCACAGCTGGATGATGGTCTTCCCACATCTGCGTCGTTTTCCCACGCCATACGAATGATCGGTGTATATTTGACCATACTGCACCACGCCGGTCAGTGTGGTTTGGTTGAGGCAGGGACCATTGTTTAGTACAATGGTGGATTCTGTCCGCCGTGTAGCTGCGCAGCTTTTTACAGCACATTTTTGTGCAATGGTCTCAAATCCAAGTACCACGCAGGCCACAATGCCGCTTAGCTTGCAACATCTCGGTGGAATTGGGCGCATTCCAGGTGATTCGGTCATGAGCAATCAGCCCAGATGCGCACCAAACTTATCTACTCATCACAATCATCTTTTGGCAGCGCGTTTTCGCGGCGAGCAGCGCTTACGCCTTAGCATTTGCGACGCCGCGGCCTTTGCGGTGACGGCAGGGCACCTCGCTGTTTTGGGTGGGACAGGCAGAGCGCGTTGCGTTGGAGGAACACGGAGTCACTCGGAATTGCAAAGCGTGCGTTTGTGCAAACGTTTGCGGCTGCCCGCCATGAGTTCACTGTTTAACACGAACAGGCCTCAGGGAGCGTGTCAGCATAACAAGTGTGCGCTCCCCCTGTATCGGCCAGGCATTGGCCCAGCGAGTGTGTCGATGCTGGTCTCTGGCGAACGTTGTTGTCATCGCTAACGCTGGCTCGCTATGATTGCGCAAGATTTAAAATGGGAATCAAAACAACTTACAGTGCTGGCCCACTGGTTTGTTGGCTATTTTAGTTGTAGTTTGTAATAATATGCTACAGCCCTTTGTCAGTCCACTGCTGGATGAATGCCTCCCTTATTCCATTTCAGTTATGGGAGTAGCTTGATCATACTTGACTGCGCTGCAAAGTGTGGATTGGTGAATGGGCGGGGAAGCCCAGGACTGGTGTGGATATCACTCGCCACTAACGTCTGCCATGGTCAGGAATTGAACTCAAGTTGCAGGGCTCATAGCGCAGTGCGCTAACCACTGTACCACCACTCCCCCCCCTGCCACCCCATTTTCATTGTATATATATAAAACATAAATGATCAGTTTACCTCTCCTGTTACGACGATAATCATTTGTAACTTTGATGGCATGCCAGCCTTTCAGCAAGACCATAAGTTCATGGCCAGCAAGGCTAGATGGGGAAGTGCCACTGTCGGGACAGTGATTTACAAACGCGTCTGACGGACGAACGCAGAGATTCGAATGCGCGCACTGTGCCGTCTCCGTTTATAGCGTTCGGGCGTTCCGCATGCTGCCAAAATATTTCACGGAAGCATTGTCCAGCAAATGCGCGCGCAGTATTTATGTAACCTCTGGGTTCTTATTTTGGGGCATCCAGCTGTCTCGGTAGTCTCCCCCCCTTCCCACCCGATGGCTCGCCCCTGTTGCGCGTCGCGTGTCACGCGCACACCTTTTATAGTACAGCGTGGAAAATCGAAGTGACAACGTATGCACGCCGCTTTCAATTGGACGGCCGGGTTGGCGCGGGCGGCATGCGGCACGTGAATCGTTAGCGGGGAGCGGGGACGCGCTGCTGCTGCTGCTGCTGTGGTTGCCTGCCTTTCGCGTGCGGCGGCTTTTTTTGAGAGCGCTCCAGCGCATGTGGCTTCTCTCTCCTCTTTTTATGCCTAATCGTTCTCGGCAGCAGGAGGTCAAACGCAAGAATTTAAGCGCGGAATATTGAACGCGTTTTTGCCCTTCGGTGTGACTCCGTAGAGTAAAGTAAAAAAAACAAGCAAGCAAGCAAAGCGAGAAGAACGTGAGCGCAGCTTCGAAAACCTTCGCACGGAAAAAATCGCCGACCCACTGACTCGCAGCAAAGGCTGGAAGTTTTTCTGCAGGCCGGCTGACTTCGGATCGGCCTTTTTTTCCGATGGACGTGCGTGGCACGTTAGGGAACGGAGCCGCTGAGATTCGAAGATCGGTCCCGCATTCTGGACCGCGTTCCGGGACGCCGATATCGAACGTGCCGCCGAGGAGCGTCCGCTGCACACGCGCAGACGGCAGCGGGCAGGCTGCCTCGTCAGCCGCGCTCGCCGCGCGTGGGATAGGATAATCGTTTTTTGTTGTTATTATTATTATTATAGTGTCGGCCCGTGCCCTGTGTTTCCCCCTTCTTCTCTCGACTTAGCCATGACCGTGCTGTCACTGTGCTGCGGGGGACTCTGGTACTCACACGACCTTTCCCTCCTCTTTGTTGCCGTGGTCGGTGCGCCCGCACTCTCGCTCCTCACCTCGCTCGTCAGCTTTTGCATCCGTCGAGCCCCCTACCCCTTCCCGTCCTGTAAGTGTCTTCCACCTTCTTCACCGTAACCTCGCCGTGAGATTTAACACCATTGAACCGTGCTTTTAAACGCGTCGTGTTAACCGTTTCTCGTTTTTTTTATGCATTTGGAGGCTTCGTTTTTTGTTTTGTTTTACGCGTTGCACGGATGACGATTAACGCTCGCGGCGCATTTCACTCTGGACGACGAGGATAACCACTTAAAAGGTCGTGGCTGTGCATTAAGGCGGCGTCAGCCGGCAGAGTAAAGTGCGCGGCGCGTAGCTGCAGTGGTTTGCGGGCACGTGTGTGCGCGCGCACGCATTAACGTAAGTCAACAAGCATGGCTTGGCGATGTGTCCTGTTGTAACGTTGTTGCCGCAGTAACAAGCCCGAGCTGGCGAAGAATGTCGGTAATTCCTGAGGAATTGCCGTTACAGTGTGGTAAAGTGTGGCCGTGCCTAGAAAGCTGTTGGGCCGGGATGCCGCGAGGTTGATCCCTAGCACCTGGTGCTTGCCGTCCGACACGGCGGAGGTGGCCCTCTCATCTGCAGCCCTTTTGGGAGAGCCCCATCGACCAATTTTGGGAATATTTTCTCGATGCGATCTCGGTGCACAGGATGGAGAAACCTGAACGAGTTGAGCAGCTCCCCGAGATTGACTTAGACTAAAATGAGTACAGTATATGAACATCAGTTGTGGGGGGTGGGGTGTGGAAGGTGGCCAGGTATGGTGCTGGCCACACTACTCCTTTATGTGCCGGTGATGGCCTTAATAGTGCTTGCTAACAGTACCACTTTCCTCGACGGTCCATAAAGGCCACACAGTGAGAACCACGCGGTGCATGATGCATGCATGTTGAACTTCTTTCGCACTGTTCGTAGCCAACCGTGCTAACTGATGGCGTGAAAGTGAGGGCAGTCGTCGAGGCTTTCTCCGTCCCGCCACTGTGTGGGGGAGGGCGTTTTGTCTTGTGGCAAGCACGTAAAAAAAAACGCTCGCAGGAAGGAATTGGCGAAAATAAAATGCCCCATTGTGCACAAAAATAAGCACGAGCTTTGTAGCTTCATCTGACCTCTCGTGTGGTTAATTCTGTAAGAGGGTGGGATTGGAGGGGGAGAGGGAGTGCCTCTTGAATCCTCACTATTGGCCGGAGCCTTCAGTCTGCCTTGTTTAAGCTGAGCACTCGAGTGGTGTAGTGGAGGTCCGTGCCGTAGCCAGCCGCAGGCTCAGCACGACTTTGTTTGAGAGTTTTCACAGAATAGACATCGGATACCTAGCCAAAGCTTGTTTGCCCTGGCATAGAAATATGCACTGACTATTGTCTTCTACAGCACGGTACCTTTGCAAGATTCTTAAATCACCCCACCTCTGTCCACCCACCAGTAGTCTTGAGTTGGCCACAGTCTTGTTGATTGGTAGCTCGCGGTGTGTAGGGACTCCTGTCGATTCAAAGACATCTGCCCAGTGTGGAAGCGTCGGCCAAATACAGAATCAGAACCAAAATATGTATTTATACTGGAGGAATCCGATGAGCGATCAAACTTTTTGTCACAGATGTCCAGTTGGGGCCGGTTAAGAGTGAAAAGTATAGGTGATGTAAACAAATCACTTAAATATCTACGAATAAAACTTTTTTTTATCTTACCGGGTAAAGCTCACTGAGCTATGTAGCTCTTCTTCAGAAACGACCTGGCCACAAATGATAGCTCAACGAAGTGGCTTTCCACGTGGAAATGTATCGCAGCAAAATAATCTAAACGCATGTTGATTCTAAAATGTGGAGGGGAAAAACGCGACCACGGGCAGAGAGAGACATGTAAACCCGCTAAGGAGGAGGCTTTGTAGAGCCGACTTATTATCGTGGCAGCCGCTCAAGTCGGCGTTGGCGTGAGCCAGCAATTGCAGGGTTGCACCTTTACCATTTTACGACGCCTTTATAGCATCGCCTGCGGTTGTTTAAGCGACGTTGACAACGTGTGCCACTCATGAGTATACTTTAGAAATATCGCATTTCTATATTACTTTGTTCTCTTTGGGCAAGGAAACAAACCCTGGCTAAAGATGTACTTTTAGCAGTTGATGGCGAAACGTAGCAAAGCATTTCCTCGGGCTGATTGTGCGTTTCCCAGCAAACGCGCGTGGCAAGCAACGAATTCACTTAACACCTAAAATCACTTGAGGGATAGTTGGCTGTGTGCATGGTGACGAGCCACTCCATCTGAAAAACATCATGAACTCTGGAGGGGAAATTAAATTTTAATCTCCTTTGACACATTGCTTGGGCAGACTGGGACATGTGGGAATTATATAATAAATTAAATAAAAAATCCAATTCCTTTCTGCTGCATTAATAAATTGGCATCGTCGCTGACAGTACTGCATCTTTGCTTGTTGAGACTCGGACTGTAACGGTGCGTCGATTCGTGACACATGTGGAACCACGTGTGTATGTCTTTCTTGTGAGAGAATCGATTTTTTTTGTATTTGCATACATTATATTTGATCGGTTGACGTAATTCCTGCAGCTGCTAGAGGTGCTACAATGCACCGTACAGTAAGAGTATCAATTCTGATATCAATTTGTGACTCCCATTCGACTCTCGATAAACCGAATCACGTTAAATCCATTAATTTCGGCACATCCAAGCATCACGTTTCAAGACGTTGAAAGGCTTTCTGCTTCATGTAACAACTTCACGTTCAAGCGCGTCACTTAATCTCTAAGCGGTTCTGTTAGAATGCCACGAATGCGCATCGGAGTTACGTGTTTAAAATAGCATACGGTGCGAAAGAAGTTCAACGTGCAAGTGTGTACAATGTTGAATTTTTTTCGCGCCGTACGTAGCCAACCGTGCTGAATTCGGAGTTAAGACTAACAAAACGTTGACCCTTTCTCGCTAACACCGCGCTCCGGAACACCCATGGCCACTCGTCGCGGCACTCGGCTGGCAATATCACGCTCCCCAGGTATAAACAGCGCGACGGACTGCGGCTCGCTGCAAAGTACACGCGCCTTTTACTGTATATATTTATTTTCAGCGTGTGGAGTCACGGCTAAGGAATGGCAGCACGTATAATGCACTGGGCATTCCGGGCAGCTCTTGCAGCCTCCACAGGGGAAGTCTGCCCCAGCACTTTGTTTGCACTCTGTTATAATGGAGGTCATTATCGTCAATGTGATGAATGAACTGTGACCCGGGCCACCCTGAGTTCGGTTCCTGTTCCTGGCCATTAGTCCGTGAGCTCAGATGAGGTGGCATCGCTTAAGTGGCTTCCGAATTTCTCTGCATGGGCAATAAAAGTGAACTTGTGTGATAATTAAAAACGAGTGGGCTATTAACTTATTCACTCTTTGTGAGCTGTATAAATAAATCGCTACCGCTAAAGTGTTGCGACCTTAGGTGCGAACTGATTTCTGCAATGGCTCATGGATTTCATGGCTAATATCAGATCAGCGGGAGGAGTGATATTGGAAACAGTCCTTGGCTTGTCTTCCACTTTACTAATCCGCACTAACCAGCATGGTGAAGTATGGTCAAGCAACTGCCTAGACCGACACAACATGGGGAGGCCTACATCCAACAGTGGCTTAATAAAGAGCTGTACATATTGTATGTAGGTCCAACGAATGCTTTTAAAAAAATATTATTTGTACATCATAATAATTTGCTCACTTGTTATGTATGAATTTATGTTGTTCCATGCGGGGCTGTGAGTTTCATGTAATTGTTTTTGCCCGTATGTAGAGGGATTGAGATTACCTGCAGCTTTCATCGGGCCCAGGCCAAAACATATCACCCCAAATCCTGCCAATGAATCAAATAACTGGGGAGGTAGGGTGCGATGTTACATTTCTAATACCCAGTATATCATCAGCCATGTTCAACCACTGCTGGATGGGCAGATGAAGGTTATCCCAAGGCATGATCTCTCATGCTCTTGCGACCCAGCAATCTCAACTCCAAATATATGGGGTGATCCATTTACAAATCTTCCCACCAACCTCAGTTCCACCTATTACATCCAATAATATTCCTCCCCTTCGAGTTACGGAGCTCTCACTTTCACAATATCCAACCACCTCCTGAGGATACATTCACACGGTCTTCATTAGACCCCGGTGGGGGCCATCCAGGAATGAATCGTGATGCACGCGCGTTGTGCTTTATTGTCGCGTTTGGCTCGTCGCGGCGGGCAGGCGAATTTTATTTCATGGCTCATGGGTCCCTCTCTGCGTCGGGGGCGTCCCCTTGGTGCCGGTCACTCTCAAGAGTCTCACCCGGCGCTCCGTCTCCCCCTCTCCTCCCCCTCCGCCGTCCCCGCCGCCCGCGGTGCAGGGTCGGCGTCTCTGCGCAGCGTGACGTCGCGGCAATCCGCAAGCCCCGGCAGGACTCCAGCACGGACGCCCACCGGCCCCGGCACCGGCACCAGCACCGGCACCGAGCCTCGTCCAGCGCTGCCCACGCAGCCCCGTGCCAACGGTGACTTCCGCTCCGTTCCGTTCCGCCCCCCCCCCCCCCCAACCTCCCGTTATTTAATTCCTTGATTATTTTTAAGACGTAGACGCAGAGCGTTAACTACAGGTGGTCAAGCCAGACAGCCACGTGAGGAGCAGCAGAGTGTGTATCGCTGTGATGTCTCCTTCATATTCGCGGATCGGGCATTGCATCGTTGTGTCTTGTATGGTCAGTTGTGCCTGTACGTTGTATGGTGTGTTCTGTTCAGCGATACGAAATAAGGAGATTATTTTTAGACAATTTCAACAACAATAGGCAACAGGAGAGCACAGAATGAAATTTGGTGAAATGTTAAACGGGCAAAGAACACCGTAATGTATATATAAGGGCTGGTGTAGATCCGTGTTGTTGTCACGGCGAGTGGAAGCTTGTGTTCTTCTTAGAAATTCGAATGTTCCAAGGTCACAACAATGCGGGGCAGGAAATGTAACAATTCAGGGTGGGTTCCTGACGTGCTGTTAGTGAAAACAAAGATCTGGGCTCCTGTCCAAACGGTCGTAAAATCACAATTTGACGTATTTAACCAATGCAGCAATAAGCTCACATCTTCCAAAAGAACGATGTTCATGAATGCATTACTTTGATAACAAACAAAAATCCTACAGATAATCTTGATTTATTTTGTTCCTGCTATTGTTTGTATATAGATACCGCAGGCCAAGTTTTGTGTGTACGGTTAACTTTTAATTATATCTGCTATATCACCAGCAGTTATATCTGCTATATAAGCAGTTATATTTATGTTTTATATAACAGCTTAACTCGAGCTATTAATGCTTTGGCATTTGCATCGTCCTTGTACTGTTTGACTTGGCATCCTTTGGTCTATAGCACTGGCGAGACAAAGCCATCTTACCTATAGGACTGTCTCTGGTGTAGGCAAATCAGTTTCAAGGACAATGCATACATTGCCAAAGCATATTTTGTTGGCATGTTTTACCACAAAGTACGTGTGGTCAATGCAGACTTGATGTCTCATAGTTGGTGTCTATTTGGTGCTTCAACATCTTAGCACGTGCATTTACGCCAGAAAGGGTAAAGCCTCTTTTTAATACAAAACAAATATATAATCTTAATGTCACCGTTCTTGTCAAAAAGCAGCCATCGATCTCGTCATCTCCCCTGGAGCATTGAGATTGGCCATGGGATGGGCGAACACATTTAAATAACGTTTATTATTTTTTGGAGATGTACTTTTTTTGAGGTTGTCTGGGAACACGAGGGAGACAGTCGCCCTTGAAAAAAATGCGTATAAACCCACAAACGCTCCGTTGTCTGGAAGGTAGGGATTTGTTGAGATATTTAAGTGAATTATGAAGCTCATTGTGTAGACACCTGTGCGAGGGTGTGGTGAAGATACACCACAAAATAGCAAAAGTGGGTTTGTCGAGTGTGTCAAAGATTCCATGCCTGGTTACTTCATAAAATAGAACCTTGTGGGAGGGTGGGTTAATAAATTGTTCGTACATTGGCGGGGGGAGCAACAGCCCGCTAGTAATTCCAGTGATGACTAGTCGCCCTTTTAAAAAATTGTGCTTCATCTAGTCTCAAACGGCACTTCATATGCACTTTACAACTTAAATGTGCAAGTAAGTATTGTTTCGGGTTTTTCTTAATATTTTTTTATTTGTGGTGGCGCCAGGCCTCATCAGCCACCAATGTCGAACCACCACTGTTGTGGGTTATCAAGGTTTTTAAGGGGATTTGTGCATTCTTATCATCAGCAGATACCAGAGGTCGCAACCGGGTACCCGATACCCGTACCCTACCCGATACCCGGCTACCCGTACCCGGCTGGGTACGGGTAGCTGTTTGCGACCCTGGTGCGGCCGGGTACGGGTACGGGTAGACCGTGAGTCACTGGTGAGTAACTGTTTGTCACTCATTTCCCAACGTCTTGTCTCTTCTCACAATTCAAGTTCCTAGAATCAACCCACCCGCGCCTGCAACATGGCTTCATCCCAGAGGTCGCAATCAGGTACCCGATACCCGTACCCTACCCGTACCCGGCCGGGTACCCTACCCGTACCCGGCCGGGTACGGGTAGGGTACGGGTACGGCCGGGTACGGGTACCCGTTTGCGACCCTGGTGCGGCCGGGTACGGGTACGGGTAAGGAATCAAAACCTGTTTGCGACCTCTGGCAGACACCAGTGGTTTCTTGTTGTTGTTGCTGCTCGGGTCTCGGAAACATAAGCCTCAATACCGTGCCCACGGGCATCATTCGCTTGCCTCTTGGCAGTTCAGGTTTTAGCAGTAACCCTTGGATGCTTTCATCGTGAGAACAGGCGGGGTGGCCGCAGGCAGGAAAAACAGACAGTTTCCTGTATTTGTTTGAGCAGTGCCCAAAAAGAATGGGAATTTGTGGCCAGGAATACGGCTACAAAATCCCAAAATGTGGTGCTGCTTGGGCCGGTCATCTGTCGCGGGCAGTTTCTGCTGCGTTCATGGAATCGTTCAGCCGGTCTTTTGTGTGCACGTTTTTTTTTGCGCGTGTTTTAAATGGGGTTGGTAGCCGCAAGGCTTTGCCGGGAACCTCTGCGCGAGTGGCCAGGCCGTGTTGTTCGAAAGTGCAGGGCTTGCTGGCCCTAAAACACGATTTGCGGTTCAGTGGTTGTGGATTAACAGGGGGAAACGGAGCAATTGCCGCCGCGTCTTGAAGGATCGTTTTCATTGAAAGTCTGTTGCATTAACTAATTAAAACTTGGTTATGAAAGTGCGGTACACTGGTAGGAAGTAATGTAGCAATGCTGCTGAATATTCACAATACAGTCCAATTTATAAACGTATCCTTCGATTATATTGAAAACATCCTTTAAGAGTGCAGCTGCATTGTAGTGGTTTTTGATTGTCTTCACTTGATTTTCACGTGCAATTCTTTTCTCTCTCTCCCAAAGTGCCTTTTGCACACGTGAAAGCTAAATTTAGCGTGTAGAAAGCGCGGTCTGACTGATTGTGCCTTCTAAACAGAAGCTCGGAAGGACGGTCGGGTTGACGTGAAGTGTATTCACGTGACCGCCCTCCCCCCGTGCACGTCAAAGGCTGACTTTTTTTTGGAAGGTCCCCTCCTGGAATAGCGGCCGTTCAAAGCAAGCGCTGCCAAACACAGTAAATTTCTCATGGAACATTTTCCTGATCGCTCGTAGACTGGAGGTGGCACGTGACTGGTAGCCCGTAGCCATTGCGAGAGATATACTGGGTGCGGTGTGCCGGGCGCGGAAATATGCCGACAGACATTTCTTTTGTACCAGTCAGCCACGCCGATCTTGCATCGGCGTGGCTGACTCGTGCCCACTGACCAGCGTGGTGAAGTATGGTCAAACAACCTGACACGGCACGGGGGAGTTATTCGGCAGTGAATCAGAATTTTTATTTGTCCTGGAGAAATCCGATGAGCTATGAAGCTCTTTTCCACAGATGTCCAGTCGGGGCGGGTCAGATGAGCACAGTTAGCCACGTACGGTGCGAAAGAAGTTCACCATTCTTACATAAATACATGAAGTTAAAACAAATTATACACAAAGCTATCAGAGTGCAAAGCATAGGAAAGTAAGCCACTAAAAATAAATACGTGTTGGCTTGCATATGGCTGCAATTGATTAATTTAGGTTATTTTATCAGCACGCTTACATTCTGGCAAGACGTACTCCGCATACCGATGGTTGTCCGTTGGCCAATTCATTCGCGCCTCGTAGAGGACGGGCGGACTTGGGTCTTGCCTGCCACAGGCGAGAGCCGTTGACGGCATCGCCACGAATACAATGCCCCCCTCGCCGGCTACCCACGGTGGTTGTGTCCAGGACCTCCTTGTGCCTTGGCTGTGGTCGGCCGGCACGTTGCGACACGCGCGTCCAGCACCGCACGAGTGTCACGTCTTGACCCACGTGTTGCCGTGGACGGCGCAAGCAATGCCTCCCCGCCCCTCCCGTGGAATGCACACCTGCACCCGTGTTGGCGTTCACACCCGCGGCCAAGATATTGTCGCAGATAAGGCTGCCGATGCCAACGAACGTGTTAATTGCTTTGTTACTGGAGTAAGCTGCCTTTGCACGTCGAACGATCAGCCTCTCGCACTACCTTCCGCTCTTCTCTTAAACTCTCTTGCCCCCCGCGCCCTTCCTTCTCGCCTCGCTCTCCTCCCCGCTCGTACGAACACCGCCTTCTCAGTCACCCAACTCGCCGCGGTCACCCCGTCACCACTCCACCTCGTCTCATTTCCATCTTTGTCTATTCCACGCATCGCCACCACCACCTCGTTTTACACGCGCATATATCCCATCCGCTCATCTCGTTTCATCTCGCCAACCATCCTGTGCCAAAGTTAGCTCACTGTACAGCGCCTTTGGTTAAGGCGCAACATAAATGTATGATAAGATAAGGTTACCCGCAGCATGGATTTATTGGTGCATCCGTATCTAATTCGTGTGGCCGCCCGGATGTGTAGCATCAGAATATTGATTTATGCTGAGCTATAAAGCTTTTTTTTCATGGATGTCCCGTATTAACCGAACAATACACGCTGTTTACTGGACGGTGCACGTGAAGGATGCTGTTATCCAAAGACAGAGTAGGCCATGCGCCGTGGTGTGATGTCATCGCGGTGAAATTTTGCCATATTTTCAGATGACTCTCGGATTACATACTTTAAGTTACAATCACACGGTTAACATTGCCCCCTACTGGCCGACTACACCGTCTATGAAACACATTGCCCTTCGTGATAGCCTTGTTGGCCTATGTATGAATGGAGCGAATTACAAATGTACTATTTCTACATTTAGATACACGATAGCCGTGGGCGAGTGAGTGAGTTGGTCACGTAAATTGTACTTCATTAATGGGCCAAAAACCTGAAATCTGGTGAAAATATTGAGGACTTTATGCTTATAGGCATACACATTTAGGGGGAAACAGTTTAAATGTTCAGGTTTGGGCTCGCAATAGTTACAGGCTGGAGGCTTATTGGTGTCACTTGTTTGGCAGGGTCAGCCTGCCATACATCAACAATTAATGAAATAATGTTCTTCTCATGGAGTGTGTTTTATAATTTTTTTAGGAAGCTTAACAAGCCCTCAGGATCACTTGTATTATGAATAATTTTGTATGTTTGTAGATATGTTGAAATTTTCTGCTGAATGTGTTTATGAGCGGTTGTGCAGAGACGTAGTCAAGCTGAGGTTTCCCTACTCATCAGCATCTTTACGAGCAAAGGATTTACATCGTTAATAATGAAGGCGGTCCCATCATTGACTTACATTCTGGAGGTTAATTCACGCTCCAGCACACCGATGAGTTGGAATCAATATGTTAAAGTCATTTAGTATACCCACAATAAATATCAACATTTCATTCTTTCTCTCCCAACTCTACCTGTTTAAGTTCGGGTAGAGCAGTTGCACAGTGGTTAGCCCACTGTGGTATGAACCACATTGGTTAAAAAATTTAATTAAAATTAATAAAAGTAAAATAAAAATCACGACGTTTCGGAGGCAACGCAAGTTTCCGTCTTCAGGTGAAACCGTCACAGCACGATTGCTGTATCAAGTAAAACCTAAGAGTATGAATCCTTGCCGTCACGAAAGCTTCAAATCTAGAATGAACCACAATACCTTGCTCATCTCGGCAAAGAGCGTAAAGCGGTCATTCTCGCAGCAGCTTTTGGTTAACCATTGAACAAAGATAGTCATTGTATCGTGCGCTTTCAGATGCGCTCCTGTGGCCGTCTGGAACACTCTTCCTTCCAATAGGAAGCCACTGGGAGCTGTGCACTTTTAATTCTCGATTGAAAACTCATTTATTTTTAACTGCTTTGTGTCATTAGTTTGTTGTGCTTTCCCGACACCTCCAATTAGCACGGTTGGCTACGTACGTTGCGAAAGAAGTTCAACAGTCATACGCACAATCTGGTTACCCGAGTTCAATTCCCAGCCATGGCTGACATCGAAGTGAAATCTGAACCGGTGCTGCCTCTCACCCCCCTGACCAGCGTGGTGAAATATGTTCCAATAACCACCATCGCCGAGGCGGCGTGGCTTAGTCCTTCATCCAACGCGGGTGAGTCTTTGAGTCGGCGCCGCAAAACTGCGGTGGCGGCCACGTCATGAACGTTGCGTGCGAGCTTTCCGCTCCCCTCCTCGTTGCGCGCGGGAAAGCCGGCCACTCGCACCGAACGCTGCGCTAGCGCACGTGCGCTCATTCCTGGTGCGTGCTGCATGTGTTGGCGCGTGCACAGCCACCGTGGGGAGCGGCGGTTCGGCGGCTGGCGCTACGCTGCGCTACGAACCCAGCGACCCGAGCTCGATTTCCGTTCACGGCCAACACCGGTGACGATTTTCTGAACCGGTCTTGGGCCTCCCTTTGGTCGACTCAGCCTCAAATGAGTACCTGGTGCGGTGTGTAAACATCGCCACTGGGGAGACAAAGGGCGTGGTGTTGGCCACCCACCCCCTTGCAGGTGCTCGCTCAGTCTGTCCAGGCTACATGGGGGATCTTTGTCTTTATTTTGCAGCCACCGCTACCGCCGCCAGAGACGACGCGGGCAACGGCGATGTCAAGCGGCTCGCGGTCCCCACGCCACGCGGGAGAGGGTCATCAGCCTCCCACCATGCCACCCCAGGGAGGCAGCGTCGTGTGGCAGGTACGGCTCTCGCGAAGTCGATCATCTCGCGCCGCTCGGGGGACGAGCACGGCGGGGCGCTCATGCAGCCCCCCATGACGACGGAAAGGGTTGCTGCCCTGCGTTTGTTTGCTCGCGCTGCTGCTCCGGCTGCGGCTGTTGCTGGCGAAAGGGGCTTCCGCACTAAGAGGAAGCTCGAGAAGAGAGGGTATTTGGGCGACTCTTCCACGCCGGCGAGACGTCTTTGGCAGAGGCGGGAGTAGCCACGCTTTCTCCCACCGCGCGCGGCCTGCCAAGCTACACCGTGGCGTACCTCCCGTGGTTTTGACAGAGGCGTTGGGGAGAATTTAATAAAAAAATAAAAATATAACTTGCCCTGGTTGTTTCAACTGCCACGCTGGTTACGTCGAAACCGGCGAGCTCTGGATTGCAAGTTCAGTGTCCTCACCCTTACACCAACAGCAGCATCCCAGACTCGCCCCAGTAGGGGGCAACCGAGTGTTAGAAATTGAGGACTTGGCCATGCTTTCTCGGCGAAGGATGGGGGCCCGCACGCTATCACTGGCAGCGTGTTTTCACAGTGGTGGAAAATGGTTTCTCGCTAATCACTTTCCCACTGCGGGACAAGCATTAGTTCCGGATGCGAGGCAAGATTCAGGCCCCTTCGTTGTTTGCGTTTCTGTTATCTGCACGACACGCCACTCCGATCTGTACTCTGGCCGCACCGTGCGTCGCTCGGCGTGCGTTTCGCTCCACGTGCTGGGAGTCTCTTCGGTTCCAAGGAGTTCACGGAGATGCAACCACCACTGCGAGCCGAGCGAAAGCATCATGACAATAAGCCGGCACAACGCGCGGCACAACCAGAGGAAAAAAAACCCTCGGGGAAGCTGTCCAGCACAACCGCAGAAACCTACGCAGCGGCAGCTCTTGCTTCGTGTTGCCATTTTTACTTTCAATACTTCATTTTGCAAGCGCGCTTACAAATGTTACGTTATTCGCTAAGGACCACGCGGGCAGCCGCACGCTTCGCTCACGAGTTAATAAAAATTGCGCGTGATATTTTTTTGTTCCAGCCGTGATAACTTGATATTCGCCGTCGACCGAATATGATCCGTTAGATTCGGTGGTTCGTGGAAAAGCTTTCGCAGTCGTTGAGAATTGCGCTGCTCTCATTGTTAAGAGTGAAATAACAGATGTAGCTCTGTTCTCAAGCACTGCGGCTTCCAGCACCATGGACACAACCACGAAGACTCAAGCTGACTGATTAACGAATGCCGGTGGTCGAGTGGCTATCATGTCTGAGCACTGTGTTGGACTGCTGCTGTGAACCTGTGTTCAAATGCAGGCAGCCACCCATGATTAAACTGGCGTCTCAAGTGAACCGATTTGATTGTCTCAGCCCGGTCACCGACCGCTATTAAAACAAGCCCATCTTTTCGATGGTGTAGGCCAATCGGTATCAAGGACAATGCACACATTATCAAGGCACATTTTGTTTGCATGTTTTACCCCAAGCATGTGCGGCAAATGCAGACATGATGCCTTGTAGTAGCAGCTGTGTCTATTTGGCGTTTGAACATCTTAACGCCCCCCCCCCCCCGTGTTATTTCCAGAAAGGGTGAAGCCCATCTTGTCGGGTTTTGTTTCCCCGTAGTTCGGCACGCCTTTGGCAAAGAGGGGTGATGACAAACATTTTCACTTTGATTGCCGTGTGCAAAGAGCTCCACCCCGAGCATGCGGTAAGAGGAAAAAGGAATCAATCTCAGAAGCAGTGGTATATGATGTCACCTCCCCGGGGGGGGGGGTGCGGGGGGGTGCGGGGGGGGGGGGTTTCTAATTTGGGGTTCGATGCATAGCATGAGCGTTCCAAATGGGCAATTCGTTGTAACGTATTCCAGGTTCTTTTTCTTCACTTGGTAGGAACTCAAGGGACAGGGATAGTCACAATTTACAAGAGTGGGTCACCAACATTACAAATGAAAAGCATAATAACTCGGCAGAATGAAGCGAATCGAAGTAAAAGCAAAAATAACCGGATAGAATTTAGAGAAAAAATAACAATGTTACAGAAGAAATCATATACGGTGCACTAACTTAACCAAAATATTACAGAGAATACCTTTAAAGTATAAGGAGTTAACAAGTTACTTAAAAAAATTCTAGATTTGAAGCTTTCGTGACTGCAAGGATTCATGTTCTTAGGTTTTTCTGAAACGCCGTGAATTTTATTTTATTTTTATTTTACTTTTATTCATTTTAATTTACATTTTTTACTTTTAAAAGCCAGCTCGAGTAAAAGCAAGTCGTAGAAGCCATCGACGTAGTTTTACGGCGATTCGACAGACAGGAATGACTATAATAAATCGGGGGTAAGCAAAGAAGCCTAACCGTGTTTGACTTAACTCTACGGTGCCCCCCCCTCCCTCCCTCCCTGTGCGGAATTGTCAGAGATTGGCAAAGAGCGCGGCGGGGTGGCACGCGGCGGCTTGCGGGCCGCGAGGCCCCCGGCGGTCGCCGAGACGGACGCCAGCCCCCCTGCGGCTCCGGACCCGACGACGGAGCTGGCGCTGGCGGAGAGCGAGCGGCGGGCCCTGGCGCTGGCGGAGCGGTGCACGCTGCAGGCGCGCCAGCTGCAGCGACAGCTGGAGGGGAGCGCCGGAAACCTGCGCGCCCTGGACGCGCTGGCCGTGGTGCTGCAGTACACTCACGCCAAGGTGACCGCGCGTGCGCGTGCGGCGGTGAGGGGCGGCGGCGGCGAGGCGTTAGGCGGTCGGAGCGAAATCGATGACGACGCTTGTGGGGAGAAAACGACAACATTCCGGTCGTTGTCAGATTACGAGATACTCCAGAAAGTAAGACGCACACCCCCAAAACATGTGCCCAGGTGTCATTAAAGTCATACAAATATGGTCGCACAGACACGCACACCTACCGGGTTAAAAGTTACATCCCCCAACTTTTGCTTTAAAATACAGGGAAGAAAGTGTGTTTTATAAGCCAGAAAATTTGCATTTTATAGGTTAGATTGAGTGTTATACCTTCATGTCCGTGGGGTTTCTCCGGGCGCTCTGGTTTCTTCCCACGTGAATTGAACACCCGAGAAGAACTTTCCCAAACCTCCCGAAGAGCGCGCTCCCGTCACCACGGTCCTGAAGACTCGGCGAGGCTTTCGCCGTCGCAGCCTTTCCAATCAGCCACCACCTTGCGTGTGCGGGACGCGCAACGGTGCAGCGGGACCCGCTCGCTCCGAGTGAGCGCAGCGCGCAACGAGAGTCGCAAGGCTGCGCATTGATTTTTACGATTAGTGCGGTTGGCTGTGTATGGTGCGAAAGAAGTTAAACGTACGCACGTACTTCCGTTGGTGTTTTCGGCCGGCACGGCTCGTCAAGTCAGCCGCTGCCGCATGAAACCCGAGCACCGTCCGTGACCTTGAGACGCGCGACGCGTTGAGGGCGCAGTTTCAGCCGCGTCGGTCCCGAGTCACCGACTTGGAAAATATTCACACACCCGGCACACCACGTCCGGCACACCACGTCTCGCTCGCTGCGGCTGTTAGTTGCAAGTCGCCTTGTCCAGCCTACCAACAACCCGGTGGATATGAACTGTGAACTCAAGCTCTGGTTATGTTCCTGAATGAAGCACAGTGGGCTGGCACGACTCATTCGAAAAGCAACATTTAAAAAAACATCGATTCTTACACACACGCGATGTGATTCAGGCATCGCAAGTATATTTGTCGACATTAGTCGACGTATTTTTATACTGCTATTAAATATTTCTACCATTTTCTATTAAAAACGTGTGTACATGTTAATAGTTTAAATGATCAACTATAACATTTGCTCTATATTTACGGCATCGGTCGTATGAAGGGGGGCGGTATGACATAGCTGGATCGTGAGAGACGGTGACTGCTTTCGGAAGCCTTCATCCAGCAGTGGATTGTTGATAGAAACTTAGTCTCGGCGTCTTTTACCTCGACCTTGCTTGGCAGCAAGCCGCGTTTCCTGCATCGTTCGCAGGGAGCGACGAGGGGGGAAGCGATCGCTGCGAGTGTCGCCGCTGTTGTGTTGTTGCGTGTTTTGAGTTGCCGTGGAGACGGCCACTTCCAGTCAGGTACCGCTCGTCCGTCGAGCGAATCCTGCGAGGCCCAGAGGAGTTCCCGTCACTCGTCGCCTCTTCCGCCACAACTGGCCGCTGCAACCACCACCCCCCAAACACCGCACCCAATCGTCGCCGCATCTGTCATCGAGATTTTTTTTTGACGGAAAATTTTCCGAAGCTAATTTGGTGACCGAGTAGAGCCGGTGGTGCGACGCTTGTGCCGTGAACCTGGCGAGCCGAGTGCGATCCGCGGCCACGGCGGTGACGCCGAGCGGCATCCGCAACCCTTCCTGGGTTAGTCGCTCAGTTGATGCTGCCTGCGTCAGGATAAAATAACAAAACAAATCTTAACACGTTCGTCAATAAAAAGGGGCAATTGCCCGAATCAAATTATATGTTGTTTCTTTCACACGTACGTATGTTGAACTTCTTTCGCGCCGTACGTAGCCAGCCGTGCTAATTGGAGGTGGTCAGCGTTATTGAGGAATGTGTTGAGTTTGTGTTAATCATTTAAATGCCGCACTTCACATCAACAAAGATATCTCGGAGCGCTTTAGCATTAAAACAATGACAATGTAAACGAATAGCCAACGCGTCGAATATCTCCATTTATATAGAAGGCAAAGTTGTGATTATGTGTCTGTTCACAATGTTTAGCGTACTTCCCGACATGCAACAAACTGGACATTTGCCATGTGGGTACTTTACAGACTGTACACCATGCAAACATTATAAAAATACAATTATTATTTTGGGGGGGGGGGGGGAGCTCAATAATGCATATATTTTTTGCACGGCAAGTGAGATGTGACGTCACATCTGTCACGTGACCCGCGCATGTGGAAGCGTAACGCATTGTAGTGTATTGATTAGCGCGCTGTGGCTACGAACCCGGTGACCCGAGTTCGATTCCCGCTCACGGCCACCACCGGTGGCGATTATTTGAACTGGTCCTGGGCCTCCCCTAGGTCGACTCAGCCTCAAACGAGTAACTGGCGTGGTGTGTGAACATTGCCACTCGGGAGACAAAGGCGTCCGGGCGTGGTGAATCCAAGTCCCGAGCGAAGCCGGGTAGTAAAGCTAGTAGAGCATAAAATATAGGTCCTCCCACTTTCACCATCCTGCCTTGACCAGCAGGGTGAAGTATGGTCAAAGAACCCCCATAACTGACACGGCGTGGGGAGGCCTTCTAAAGCTTGAGTTTATTTGTTACGCGGCTGAATCCGTTTCCCGGATATTGTACACGGGAGATAGGTGGTGATTGAGCACAGCAGCAGCAGCAGCAACAAAGACAACAATAGCATCAAATATTGCAGAGAATGCGTACAGGGGTCGGGAGCAATGTTGTACATCTGACAAGCGAGGTGTTTAACAGTCACAAACTAAACGCACGCAAGTCCGAAACAGTGCAAGTGTAATACGTGGGTGAACAAAGGGCTGTAAAGAATTTTCTCATCCGATGAGATGACACTGTCGCGCAAGAAATGTATGTGTGCATTACGTAAAAATCCGCGATTCTCTGTAATCCGATCATGCGTAAACAAGGTTAGATCAGTGGAATTTGATTAAGTGATGCCAAGGTTTGGCCATGTTTCCGAACGCGTGTAAAGGCTTGGGTGAGGCTGAAGGCAATGTTTTAGTGGGATGAGGGGAAGGGTTCGTTTTGTTAACACGCGATCATTGGGCGTAAAACAATTGACCAATGGAACGATTCAAATCGGCTCTTAGGGTCGCGGTGCCTGCGTCGTATTGGACGTGAACGGATCTGTTCTTTTCAGAACTAGGATCTTTATTACTTAGACTGCAGGAGGAGGAATCCCATGAGCCTTTGAGGCTCTTTTTCACAGATGTCCGGTATGGGCGAGTCAGCAAGCTACAACAGCAAACAACACAAAAACACGTTAGGAGTTAAAAATAGAGAAAAAAAGATGAGAAAGTCTCGAAATATAAATACGTAAATAATTATTTTACAATAGGCGCATGCGAACCCTGCGACCACGGGTGGTTTGCATGAACCATAATTGCAACGTAGTGATCGATGATTGAAATTATCGATTAGCAACGGTTCGTGAATCATTACAAGCCTAGCGATCATTTTAAATATTCCTTAGCTCGTCAACAATCATCATCATCATCAACCATGATCAATCAATTGCTGGATGAAGGCCTCCCCTAGCCATCACCTTCTCAGCATCTCACACGGTGGTTGCGATGCAAGAATCCACCTCGCACTGCACACACGACCCGATTTCGTTGATTCATCTCCCAACGGCGGCTATGTCCTGTCTGCCACTTTGTCGTTATTCTCGACCACCGGCCGTTACATCCCATCGAGAGACGGTGTCTTGCTGGATCGCCCTTTTCTGAACAGGGTTTGGCTGCTGCTGCTGCTGCTTCTGGTGTTTTTAACGCGCCCACTTGCACACTGCGCTCTTGCCTGCTTAACGAATTTGCGTAAGAGGGTGAACAGGGCGGAGAAGGAATGGTTCACGGAGGTTCGTGCCTTCTGTTGCTCTCCGTGGTTTCCATCGTCGCATCGAGGCAATGGCTGAAAATTGGTTACCAGCGCCGGGTGGCTGCACAAGTTGCTTTCGCACGGCACCCCGTGGCAGAATTGCATTTGTATTTTACCCTCCCCAGATAAATAAATAAATAAACGGATATATTATTTAATACAATTAAGGATGAACTTTTTTAGGCAAAGCAATCTCTCACGGCATAAATCTCACCCTGTTCAATCATGGAAGATCACTTTGGCTCGTACACTCGATGGGTCGATTTGCATAGCGAGGTGACCCTCGGTGTCCCTGGGATTGCGGTTCTTTATCTGACCGCCAGTAGCCCCACGGCCAGTGCGCGCAACGCACGCACGAGTGAGGGCCCCTTTATCCCCGGCGAGCGAGCGGTGCCGGGGCTGTTTTGTTTTGTGCGGACCCAGGGGAACAGTTTCCGTCCGCTGCAGCTGCTCTCTCTCGCTGCCCCCCCCCCCCTGCCCCCCCCGTGCCCCCCCCGTGCCCCCCCCGTGCCCCCCCCGCGCCCCTCCCCTGCTCACCCGCTCCCTTCCCCAGGCCTCACCTGTCGGCTTGCACCGAGTGATGTCCTTGACACCGCCACATGGCCGTGGCCAGAGCAGCAGCAGCGCCGCGTGTAAATATTCCCGGGACAATTTTAGAACCCAATTCCCCCCCCCAGCCCCCTCCCTTTTTTATTGTTGCCTCATTCGCTTCAAGATGCCGGAGGATGAGAGCGAGATGGGGGGGGGGGGCGGCGTTGGCGGTGTTCGTGCCGGGGCGGCCGCTTGTCGCCTTGCCGGCGACTCGAACTCGCGTTGTCGTGGTTGTTCACGAGCAGGGGCCACTTTGTTTTCGTCGCGTCCAAATCGGCGAGCCTTGCGCGTTCGACAAGGTCCGCTTGACGAAACGTGATTGGAACTGCAGTCCACGTTTGTGCTCCTGTTGTTTGTATTTGGCCAATCTGTTGTTTCTATGAAGTAACCCCAGACATTTTAGGAATACTGTAACTCATTCCTGCCAGAGCTGCATTAGGTTCATTGATCGTTTTAATAAATTGCTTTGCCCGTAATTGGAGAGGAACACACAGCAGTGACCAAGGATGGCTCCTGCCCATTTCCTCCTTGCCATAAACCACCGCAAATGAGATATATTTGTCAAGACTCCCGGCAGCTGACAGGCTTTCACGTAGATGTCACCAAACTGCGTAGGTGGCTCCCAGCGTGTGAATGTGTTGTGGGGAGCGGTAGCGTAGCGGTTAGCGCGCTGCGCTACGAACCCGGCGATCCGGGTTCGGTTCCCACTCATGGCAAAACACCGGTCCTGGACCTCTCTTAGGTCAACTCAGCCTGAAATGAGTATCTGTGGTGGATTAATCGCCACTCGGAAGACAAAGACGGCAGGGCGTGGTCCTAGCCACCCACCTCATGCTTGCCGTGCCGGCCTTCGTAAAGGTGCTCGCTAACAGCACTTGCCCCAACAGTCTGTTACAAGCTATACGGGGGATCTTTATATGTATGTATGTGTACATGATGGTGTGCTCGTATGTGTGTTGGTGTATTTTCGGATTCTTATCACACTTGTTTAACCAGGAAAGCCTCACTGTCAAGAGCCTTTTTCAGGAAGGTTCTGCCAAGTTATCGCAGTCGGCAGTGGTGTGGGCACGTGTAATCTCGATTGAGTAGTTTGCAGATATTTCAGCATTGGGGTATTTGGCCAATACCACTTACATTGTGTGTGTGTCTGTGAGCGGCTGGGGAGTGGTGGCGTAGCGGTTAATGCGCTGCGCTGCGCACCCGGCGACCCGAGTTCGATTTCCGCTCATGTTCGACACCAGTGACGATTATCTGAACCGGTCCTGGGCCTCCCCTAGGTCGACTCGGCCTCAAATATGCGCCTGGTGCGGTGTGTAAACATTGCCACTGGGAAGACAAAGGCGGTCAGATGTGGTGTTGGCCACTCACCCGCTTGTGTGTTGTGCTGGCCTCCATAGGTGCTCGCTAACAGCTCTTGCTCTTGCAGTCTGTTAATGCTACACGGGGGACCTTTGTCTTTGTGTGGCTGCTTTTGTTTGAGATTTTACAGTTGAATTCCTGGCCTCTCCCGGTCATGTTATGGATTTGCTATCGACAAGCATGAATCTGCTCTTGAACATTAAGAAAATTCTGTTAATCTTCACCAGAGATGGCCAGTGTATCAGAGTTAATGGCCAAATCTCCCTTCCGTAATAAATTATTTCAGGGATGTTTATGTAATTGGGGAGCAGTGGTGCAGCGGTTAGCTCACTGCGCTACGAACCCGGTGACCTCAATTCATTTCGCAGCCGCGGCTAAAATCAGTGGCGAGTGATATATGAACCGGTTCTGGGACCCTCTTCACCAACCGGCACTGACCAGTGTGGTGAAGTATGGTCAAACAACTCCCATGACTGACACGGAATGGGGAGGCCTTTGACCATGAGAAGAATGACAAAGGGCTGTAAATTACAGCTGTACAGAATAGTGGAATGATTAACCTCCAATCATATAAATTGCGATTTAGGATTGCGATTGTATCAGAGAATCAATTACTTTCTTTATCGCAGTGCATGGTAGCACCTCTAGTGGTTGTTCTGGCGACGGAGCCCATTACATACAACATATCTCTATTGCAAGATGATTTTTACATAACTTAAGAATCAATAACTGATGAAGCTCTGCATCTTTCCACAAATAATAATGTATACTACTCTAAGAATATATTTTAAATAATATTATAAATCAAGTTTTTTAACTACATTATTTGGACATTGTAAGTTCAGATGCATGGCACGGGTACAGATGCGTGGCGTTCCTGCGTATTTACGCGATAGATGACTCATGGTATTTTGCGATAATGGAAATAAGTAACAGCTGCAATCCCTTGTGCAGCGGAGACGTTCCGAGCCACTCCGAGCTATGTAAATACATTTACAATTTGCATCCAAAAATATTCGCAGCCAGCCAGTGTCAGTGTGCATCCGTCACGGAGAAATTAATCGCGGTTCGTTAGCAGTCAGCACCCGGGGGGGAGGTAAGGGGGATGGCTGGGGGTAACCATTCGCTTAAAGAGGAGGACGGGGGGGGGTCGGTGACGCTTGTGTCAGTGAGAGCGTCGGAGGGGAAGCTGTGCGCGGCTATTAGGGTAAGCGCGGGCTGCGGCGCTGCTGGGAAGAATACGTCAGCACAGTGCCAGACTGCGGCGCTGACACGGGCGTGCGTGCGTGCGGATGGACGTGCGTGCTACACGGTGCACCACCACCACCACGACCGCCGCTGCCGCCGCCGCCGCAGCCCCGGCGATGGGGAGAAGTTAAGCGTCGGGCCAGAGAGGTCGGTGCGGGATGGGAGAGCCGCGGCATGGGCTGTAAGTGCAGCAAACTCTACGTCTGCGGGTGCCAGGCCAGAAAACGGGTAAATAAATATGTAGTGGGAGGGAAGGGCACAGCGCGTTGTCCGGAGAGCAGGGGTGGGTGGGTGGGTCGGTGGCTTGCGGTTGATGCAGGGTCATTTGTCTCAGCTGGCGGCGGTATATGTATCGGTCGCATAGCGTTACGTCGCTCTTCAAGGGACATGCCTTGAAAGGCAAAGTTGTTTTATGTGTGACCGCATCGAATTTAAATTCTGGTCGTCTTGCGATTTCGATCGGTCGTTTTCCGGGCACCGTGCGACGCGAACGACGCACTCGCATCGTCCGCCTCGGCACGGCGATTTTCCTCCTCTTATTTGAGTAAGCAAAAAATACGTTGCGGTCTTAGAGGCGAGCTGTGCCGAGTGGAATCTCGCAGCTTGCTCAGCCTTTGGGCCAGTTTCGCTCGTGTTTATACGACAACACAACAAATGAGATGAAGCTCAAGTTATTTAAAATTAAGCGAGTGATACGGAGTACCTTGATTTCCCAGAGGCCAGTGCCGGTGCCTTGTGGCCGAATACCGGGCTGCCATTATCAGCAAATCAAATTAAACCTTGTAACTTTTAATCCAGGCTTGTATAATTACCTCGTATCGCAAACCATAACTGAGCATGCAACATTCACTTGAAACTTGTTTCAATCCATTGAGCTGAATAATTAAGCTCTTTAGGGATCTGTAATGGAAACAAATGAAGTTAGCCTAATGTAGAATAGGCATTTTTAAATATATATAAAACACGCTTGTGTAGACGGTTTTGCGCTGCGCAAGGCTTGTGACGGTAATTAATTGCACGTCAATGGTCGGGGGAGTTACAAGTTCCCATTGAATATAAATCCAAGTGGAGGCAAAGGAACGCTTGGGCGGCACCTGCGTGCAATCTAACGGTACACACAATCCGCACTCGCCGTTTTAACTATTGCGGCTGTGTGCCGCTGCCAACGAAGCAGAAACGCGAACATACTGTAACCCGAATGGACGTTGGGCAACTTGTTGCGCAAGCGTGCGCAAGGCTCGCGGGGCGCTTAATACGTTCCTTATTTTCCTCCTCCTAATCTCTCTTCCTCACCCCCCTCTCTACCTCCTCCCGATCTCTCTTCCTTCCCCACTCTCGGCCGCCCTCCCCTGACAGCATGCGGAGGCCGTGCGGAAGGACCGGGAGCTCTCTCTCGTCATACACAATGTGCAGGAGGAGCTCGGTAAGGAGACGCACGCACGCCCATGCACCGGTGCTCATTTCACACGTGGCTTTATCCCGATTGCGTGATAAAATGCAAGGTCAAGGATCCCTGCAGGTGCAACTCTTTGTGTTGTAGGGTGTGGCCCGTGGAAGCAGGCCTCATGGAGCTACCTCTGAGATCCCTTCGAGTGACGTCTGGCCGACACAGGCAGCACTTTCCCATCCGTTTTGTCAATTGTCATCGCATGGCAGTCAAATTGATATGAAGTATCGGAGCTGACATTTATCCACATTTGGTGCAAAGCCACATTTTGTGATGGGATTGCTTGTGCAGTCATTGTTGACCGGGCTCAGACCATCAACTCGCTACTCAAGCGGCTTAACCCCAGTTTAAATCATGGGTGGATTAAGCTAGATTTGAACCCAGGATTTCAGCGGTGCCACCTCGGCGCTCTGACCTCTTGAGCTGCACGATCACCTTTTTAGCATAACATTTGATTGGCAATCGTCGTGTTTTTCCTCCACGGTATACTCGGCAGGCGTTGAGGAAACAGGTATAAGGGGATGCGAGCAAATGAGCCGCTGCAATAGCCAAAGAATGCCTCTCCAGCCCCTCGGTAGCACTGGTGCATCGGCCATCTGTACGCTCGCTCGATCTACCGAGTTTACACGCGGCACACTCGGCGAGCGGGAATGGCAGGGGTTGTGCATAGCTGTGCAGTTTACTCGCCGCAAAAGCGTGGCGTCAAACCCCGAGCGTTAGCGGCTCTCCTTGCGCAGCATACGTGCACCGATGCACCACCACTGCGTTTCGAATTGCAATGCCCATTGTTGCACGCCGAGAGCACAAATTCCGTCGGCTCAAAGTATGTTTGCCATACAATAGTGGTAGCTTTATGCATTTTATTTAGAGTTTGTTTTGGAGGGAGGGGGGGGGAGCAAACCCAGCAACATAGGTTCTGAGCCAGCCCTGTGCCTTCTCACAACAGCAACTCTCACGAGCTAGCCAGCGCGGTGAAGTATGGTCAAACAAGAGCTATGACCCGCACGGCATGCGGACCGGCTTCCTTGCATGCGTTCCATTCTGGAAATCGTGCACAGACGTGTGCAGTATAATTTGAATTCACATAGCATCCTAATACCACAGCATCTCCAGATGCTGCGTGGAACTAGTGGGCATTTTCGATGTAAAGCTTTCGTGACTGCAGCGATTCATCTTCTTGGTTCTTTCGGTAAAGTCACGTAGAAGGAAAATAATAAAATAAAACATAAATAGAACATAATAAAACATGATAAAATAAGATAATGCTCACGACGTTTCGGCCACAACGCAAGAAACCTGAGGACGGCTGCTTGCGTTGTGGCCGAAACGTCGTGAGAATTATTATTTTATTATGTTTTATTTGTATTATTTTATTATTTTCCTTCTACGTGACTTTACCGAAAGAACCAAGAAGATAGTGGGCATTTGTAAGAGAGAGAGAGAGTGGAGCAAAAAACAAGTTTCAAGCCTGGACTTGAACAGGGGCAGGGAGTCCAACGGCACGGACGGCGGGAAGGGGTTGGAGGGTGCGGAAGGAAGTTCCAGAAAATATGGGCAGCGGAGGATAATGAACGACCTCCCATAACAATTGCATTTGTGGCTTAGATGGAGCGGAATCAGCATATGCCCCCTTGAGAGTGACGTTATCGTCTGATGAGCTCTTCTTCCCACTCGCCCCGCGTTCGTTCAAAACCACAAACGCTCTCGGCGCTCCTGTGGGAGGCAGTCTTAGCCGGCGGGGGCCGGTGGCTATTTGCAGAGGCGAGTCGCAGTGTCTGCCTTCTTAAGTCCTTTAAAAGTGTTTTTTTCTTCTTCAGGAATAGGATATGAAAGAGTGTGTGGACAAGCAGCAGGATTGGATGTGATTGGGTTGAGACACGATGGTGCAATAGTTTTCACCAGCTGGATGTCGTAATGTTTTTTGAATTTGGTCTCCAATGGGAAAGAAAAAAAATGAAGCCTGTTCATAATTGGGCCGTCAGTACCCCAAGTTTCTCTTGGTATTTCAGTGATATTTTTAGTCACCAAATTTAGGAATGTTCCTCGTGCCATTCAGTGATATATATATACACACGTGCCTTCAATAAACACCTCTCATTTTCTATGCACCTTGATCGACGCATTACGACACCGTATATTTTCCATTAATTATTGTCGGCTCCGTCTGCGAGTTAAGCTACGAATTAGCTTTACTATTAGGAAACTAGACGGTCGCGATTATCGACCGGCATTTCTTGGCACTCCTATTCCATGTTTCTCATGCGACGGAGCTCAATGGCGCGAGATCAGTTAGCACTTTGAAACGGAGCCGCCTGTACATGAACGCAGGACAAACAGCTGTCCACTCACGCGTGCACATTGTCTCCTGGTGACGATCTAAACAAATCTCCGCGTGCCTTCTAATTCGAACGTACAACACTCTGCAGCAGAGATTGCGCTGCTCGCCATAACGTGGGGAACGCGTAATTGCATCCCTCCTCGGGCATAACGGCACGCTTGATACCGACGAGGAGTGCCAAATTGGCTCCGACTTGTCAATCCCACTGCTGAATGAAGGCCACCCCATTCTGTGCGTCGGTCACTCGGGGTTGTCTGATCATGCTTCACCACACGGGCGGTGCGGATCGGTGAAGTAGGTTCCCGGGGCCAGTTCGTATATCACTCGGCCACTGATGTTAACCGTGAGCTCGGATATGATCTCAGGTCAGTGAACACATTTGTTTGCTTTTTATGTGAGCTTACTATGTTTAATACGATTAGAATTTGAGATGAAAGTTGATGATATTTGTATGAATCCGGGTCCCGCACTTAAGCTACTTTGGGGCTGTACTACGCTTTTGTTTCGGTGATGCTGCTGTGCAATGATTCACATGCTGGGCCTTCCAGTTCGATTCAACTTCCAGCACAGCAGTTGAAACAACGGCGCCAGTGATGAGATGTTAACTCCCTCGCCTGGTATGCAGGAAGTTGCGGGTTCGATCTCGACCCTGACGCCTGCTGTATATTTGAAGTTTGCGTGTCTCTCTCCCCGCTGTCGTGTGCATTTTTCTCTGGGTGCTCCGGTATTTTCCCCTCCACATTTAGAATCAACATCGCGCGTTTAGAGTATTTGGCTGTTATAAATTTCCACGTGATGATAAGCCACTTTGTTGAGTTATCATTTGTGGCCAGGTCACTTCTGAAAACGAGCTATACAGCTCAGTGGGCCTTAACTGGTAAAATAAAAACACAATTTGTTGTCTTTATAGTTAGCGATTGGCAGGTCAGACGTGGTGGGGGCGGGGGTGGGGGGGTAAAGTTCCCACGCCTCCGATTGGCACATTTGGCCACGTACGGTGCGAAAGAAGTTCAACACACGTACACACAAAAGTGCGGGCGCTGCAACAACGCGTCTCGGGTAGCGCTCGCGAGCATTCCCAGCGCCTTTGCCTCCTGACGCCACGCCCCCCCACCCCCCCCACCTGCACAGCGAGCAGCGCGGCGCGGTGCGAGGCGCTGCAGCGCGACAAGGAGGAGCTGCACGACAGGTGGCGGCGGGAGGCGGAGAGGGCCGAGGAGGAGCACGCGCTGGCGCTGTGCTCACTGCGCGACAGCCTGAGCCTGCAGCACGAGGCCGAGCACGACGCTCTGCGGCGCGAGCACCTCGCCGCCCTGGGCGAGCTCCGCGTGCAGCACCGCGAGCAGGTGGGCAGGCGGTGCAACTGCCCCTCCACCCACCACCCCCCCCCCCCCGACCGCCCAACCGGCCCCCCCTCCCGCCCGTTTTTTGCACGTAGTTTGGTTTTTCACGCCGTTGTTATAGCGCGCGGCTGCCACGACCTATGCACGCATCATCGGCTACGACCAGAATCTGAATTTTTGTTTTGACAGGACGAATCCGATGAGCTATTAAGCTCTATTTTTGTCCAGACCAGGCCAACCCCAATCCCTCCTTCGCCTCTCCCGCCAGTTCCCCTTTCACCATAACGACACCACCACCTTTAAGAACCCCACTGTTTAGTTCAATCACTATCATCTTACGTATAATTGTCGTAGAGTGCCTCAGAATAATGCGCTCTATAAATTGACACAAGATAAGATTGTGCCACGTGTAGCTGTTTAGCAGCGTGCAGGCAACGTAACTGCATTATTTTAAATACACTGCACGGGATCTATGTATGCTAATATTATGAACAAATATTTTATTCAAGTGTCACCCTTTTGTAACCGAGGGTTAGTTCCTAAGACATACAGTTTTAAATGAAACCAAGTGAAATCGACGCTTGCGTCCACCTGTGCGTTCCTCCGCATTCCAAGATTGTGCCCCACGTGGTTTTTTTCAGCTGGAAGAGTTGCAGTCAAATCAGGAGTCTCTGGCACAAGAGATCGAGGTCCGTCACAGTGAGGAGATATACTCACTAAAGGAGCAACAGGCCAAGGCACAAGATGGTAAGCCCGTCCCGTGGTAAACACACGCTCAATGGAAATGTTAATATCTTGGACAAGCAGATGATTCAGTTGAAAGTAAGTTGTTTTCTAGGCTTTCACCCTGTGCACTGTTAAACATGTGATGCCGACCTGGGAGTTATTTAGGAGGGTTTTCTGATTATTGTCGAGTTTGAGTGCCGTTTGTGGATTATGTAAAAAATAGTGTCGCTTTTGAGTTACGGATTCTACATTTTACAAGCCATACAAAAATTACTCTGGAAAGGAACACAGTGGTTGAAATGCAACGGTTTTAGTTTTGAGATGTGTTAATGCACGTGTGCATTTAGTTGAATCTACATTTAAAAATTCAATTCTGATTTCCCACCTGATGTTTTGCAAAATATTTTTCTTGTAAATACTTTGCTTGCCTACATTAATAGTGCGCCACTAGAATAATAAAAATAAATTTTATTTCAAAACCTCTGCATGTCATCCACCAATTTTAATACTTCAAGGGTCATTTATAAGGGTCGTTTTAAATTAGAAATCAGTGCGGTATCTCTAAATCAATCACTCTGTGCATAATAACTTCATTTTAACAAAAGCAATACATATCTGCGGACGCTTCAAGCCTGCTGAACACGGCACTATGTTAACACGTTGCATGATGAGCATTTGCAAGGGCACTGTAAAAAAGGCGTGTGTGTGTGTGTCACACGTCACTGCTGCAGAGCTCAAAAGGAGCCATGACTCAGAGAAGAAAGCGTTACAAGAGGAGTTTGAGCGGACGAGGCTATTATTGCAGGTGAGCACATGCGGCAAGAGTTATCATTTTTGTTGTTACCACTGCTTCGATTTTCCAAGGTCAGAATAATAATATTTATTCATAGTGGAGGAATCCGATGCCAGGAAAAACATTATAGTGTGGATCTAAATCGTTTTTGCTTGATGTTTTTTCAAGTGCTTGTTTTGCATACGACAATAGTAATACAAAAAATTGCCAGCTTTTCAGTCCACGTCTGGAGGGTTTTGCGTAGTGTCGTAACGCCACGTAGGAGACATTTTTAGGAGGGGGGAAGTGAAGGCGATTGTAAATCCCTCAGCCTCTGGCTTCAACAGGCTCGCGACAAGTGCAGTCCAGGTGATTTGATGCATATGAATACATCAAGTGCACGTTTTTTTTGAGTTCCAATTTGACTCACGGTTGAGCAGCTGAGAAATCACGTGACGAGAGTACGAGGGAGGTGTCGAGTTTGCAGGGAGAGGCGCCGGTGGTGACTCCTTGCATGACATTGTCCCCCCCGATAAAACGCGCACAGGACCAGGTGGACACGCTGACCTTTCAGAACGACTCCCTGAAGGACAAGGCGCGGCGCTTTGAGGAAGCCCTGCAGAGGGACAGCGCCGAGACCGTACAGGTGACCGTTTCTTCCACCCAACGGACGACCGAGCCGTTCTTCATTCACTGCGTTCCCACGAACCCTCTCGTGCATCAAGTGCACGGCGGTGGACTACTACGATATATATACGATGACCGCTTAAATGCAAATGGATGTGTACATTTCAGTCCTGTTCATGAGCAGAATACATTTTCCGGAAGGATGTGTATACATGTTTGCCTGTCATTTCAATTCTCCACACGATATGGAAATATATTTTGATTTAAAGCTTTCGTGACTGCAGGGATTCATATTCTTGGTTTTTTCGGTAAAGTCACCTGATAATGATTGCTTGTGTTTCAGTCAAAACGTCGTGAGAATTTTTATTGTTTTATATTAATATTATTTTATTATTTCCCTTCTACGTGACTTTACCAAAAGAACCAAGAATATGGAAATATATGTTATAGAACGACACGTATTCGAACAGAAGGGTGAATTGGAAACCCGGTGGTGTATGTGCAACTTTCGTGAAATATTCCCAGACCCTGGCTGGGTGACATTGGCGATGCGTCTGTTTGACCTTTCGGATTTATTGTTTAAAAGTTGCACGCGCCCTGACAAAGATTCATTGCCCTGGAGCGGCAGAGGTTGCGTGCGACTGTGTGTCGACGTATTGGAGCTGGGCGATTGCGGCCTGCGGGGATGAATTTGCTCCAGTGGCACAGCCGACGACTATAAATCAGGACAGTTGGTAGGCGGTACTGACCTATCTGCCTCGCACACGGCTGTGGATTCATGCGCACAGTAAAAAGCTGCGGAGCGCATGCGTGTGCGATGTGCGGACCGAGATGTAATCTTGTGCCCGAGGCATTTAGGCAACATTTTGCGTGATAAATGGTCGGGGAAAACAAATTTGAGCGTCAATTAATTGACTAAAATAAACAAATATGCTGTATTCTGTGGATTATAAGATGCTGCTGAAAGTAAAAACGCACCTAAATCTTGTGCCCAGTGTCAATAAAGTTATACAAATATAGTCACACACACACACATCTTCTGGATTATAAGATACACCCCTAAACCATTGATTTAATATGGAGCAAAAAAGTTACATCCGGAGAATATGGAATATATAGATTTCATTCTAGATTTGAAGCTTTCGTGACTGCAATGATTCATATTCTTAGGTTTTTTCGGTAAAGTCACGTAGGTAAAAAACATAAAAAAGTAAAATAAAATAAAAATCACGACGTTTCGGAGGCAACGCAAGCTTCCGTCTCCAGGTGGTACCATCACAGCCACGACAGCTGTATCAAGTAAATGAGAGATTGCAGGAGCTACCACTCCGTTTATATAATGGTTGGAGAAGATGGTGGGGCAAGGGCCGCATACTTTTTATTAATATGGTAAGGTGAGGCTTAAGACTAAGAATAGACTGCATAACAAAGGCTGAGCCTTTGTTATGGAGAGGTGCGGTTTGTGACGCAACCTGTGAAAGGGGGGACCACCATTAAACCGCACCTCTCCATAACAAAGGCTCAGCCTTTGTTATGCAGTCTATTCTTAGTCTTAAGCCTCACCTTACCATATTAATAAAAAGTATGCGGCCCTTGCCCCACCATCTTCTCCAACCATTATATAAACGGAGTGGTAGCTCCTGCAATCTCTCATTTACTTGATACAGCTGTCGTGGCTGTGACGGTACCACCTGAAGACGGAAGCTTGCGTTGCCTCCGAAACGTCGTGATTTTTATTTTATTCTATTTTACTTTTTTATGTTTTTTACCTACGTGACTTTACCGAAAAAAACCTAAGAATATAGATTTCACTTAAATATGATGCGAAATGGCACACACTCATACCGATGATGGATAGTATTTTGAGTAGTAAATCATTTATTGAAATTTCACACTGACACATTGCAGTTTCCCCAAGCAATTTCGAAGCTGCGTCTTGAATTTAATGTTCCGAAAACTGGATCCTGACAGTTTTATCCGACTACAAGGTGGTCAAAAAAATAAGCGCTCGGTTTCCACTCATACATCAACTGTCGTGACAATGTGATTCTTGGCTGAATGTCATTGGCCGAGAGTTTAATTCTGGTTCACAACCATGTGGAGCGGAGGCTTGGTACGGATATATATACGGTACCCCTGGGTTCTGCACTCTTTGTAATGGATTCACCCACCCACGTTTTTAAAGGCATTCGCAAATGTGTTTCCTGACCTTCTGACCCTTGTGGAGCCTTCAAAGTTTGGGGGCATGCTGAGAGGAGTGAAGAGGTTGTTTCGTTTGATCAATGGCCACATACTATGGAGGTGTTGTCTTGAAGTTATGCTCGATTGATTCATTTTGGTAAAATTAAAATCGTATATACTTGATATATGAGGGATGCACTCTAAATGTAGATGTTTTAAATGTTTCGAGCTACCCATGGTCTTCATTGGCTACGATTTTCTTGGTCATTATATGATATTATATATTCACAATTTGGCATGCACCATGGCTCAAGTGTCTGCGAGAGCTTCCTTTCCTTAGTCGCAGCATAAAAGACATCTTTTAATATTTTTTACCTGATACTTTGAAACGGTGATTTGACAACACATCGGGAGATGTATTTACTTTAAAACTCGTTTCAAGGCAGTAACATTTTATTGGGTAAAAAAAAAACCACGCAAAACATTTAGACGGCAACATTTGTACATTGGCGACTGTTCAATCGCTGTCAGTGTGGAAGTCGGAATAATATCGACCAACTTGCGTATGGCACAGCAGCGCTGACGGAGTGACGACGCCGACTTTTGTCGACGGCTGTTTACGAGCAGGCGGCACTGGCGCCCTACCAGTACATCCAAGAGGAGATGGCGAGCCTGCAGGCCGTGCTGGAGATGCGTGCGCACACCATCCACCAGCAGCAGAACCGAATCCTCGAGCTGGAGAAGCTGGTCAGTTCCGCGTCCCCCTCCCCATGGACCATCAAAGGTCCAGGGTCTTCTGCGTTTCCTCCGTATGTTGTCGGCGGTTCAGAACGGTGGAAGATAGCAACATGATGCAGCAGTCGTGCTGTGACGGTTCCCCCTGAAGACGGAAGCTTGTGTTGCCTCGTCGTGATTTTTATTTTATTTTTATTTTACTTTTATTAATTAAAATTTTTTACTTACGTGACTTTACCGAAAAAACCTAAGAATATGAATCCTTGCAGTCACGAAAGCTTCAAATCTAGAAATGATAGCAGCAAGGTTGCCGTGCGCGTTTGCCATTTCTGTTCGCAAGTTCACATTTTTTTGGCCTCAAAAGGTTCATTGGAACAGTGCGTGCCCAATTTTTTGTTCTCATTTTGAAAACAAGTCGAGCGTGAACGATTTAAAAGTTAGCCCATGTCTATAACTGCTCAACCCGAGCTGTAAGTGCTCCGATACTTGCATTGTGTTTGTGCTGTTCGCATTTTGGCGTCCTCTGGTCTTAACACTGGTGAGACGAGGCCATAAATAAGGCTGTCTCTGGTGTAGGCCAATCAGCAGTTTCACAAACAATGCATAAAATATCTTCTTGGTTCTTTCGGTAAAGTCACGTAGAATTGAAATAATAAAATAATAAAAATAAAACATAATAAAATAATTTTCACGACGTTTCGGCCACAACGCAAGCAGCCGTCCTCAGGTGGAGAACAGGTCTGTCGAGAAGACAGAGTCTGAATGACAAGCCCCAGGCTTGGAGCGTGTCTTGCCACAAGTGTGGTTAATGCAGACTTGATGCCTTGCAAAAGGTTTCTATTTGGGTGTTTGAACATCTGCACACCTGATTTGAAGCTTTCGTGACTGCAGGAATCCATACTCCTTGGTTCTTTCTTACGAGACTTTACCGAAAGAATCAAAGAGTATCTTAACATCTGTTTTACTGCCAGAAAGAGTAAAACTATTCTTATTTTTCATCATTAAGGACACCTGTTGGCTGTACTCTCGTTGGATGCTTGCAGCTCGCTGCATACTCTGTTTTATTGTTTGGCTAAAAAAGTGGACGTGATTTTGTTGAATGACGTTAATACTTCTGCAGCTTACCGTTATTACTCTCCATTAATCTTGGCCAAAACTATAAATGTCTCAATCCTTTAAGCGTTACGACACTGCTATTTCAGCACACGTGGATTCTAAGATGTGTCACCATGCATTAGAGAGTTTTTATATACCAGTTTGTGTGTTATTGCAGAAAATATGATTTTGGGTTCTAAAACTGGCTGGCGTTGATCAAATTCCATTGACATATACGTGACAAATGTTTTTGAAAGCGATATAATTTTACCACAGCCAATTGTGACCCATTCTGCCCCTGCGGCTCACATTTTTACAATTATTCTGTAATGACAAGGCTGTAGAACATTCATCCCTCGCCCTTCTGCAGGATGAGACAAATGTCGCATTGAAAGAGAAGGTGAGGGTCTTGACGCAGCAGAATGAAGAACTGAAGGCCCGTGTCAACAAGAACAGTGCAATGACCAGGTGTGTCTTCGAGGGCCACTTTCAGCAGCGCTCTAACATAACCATAAACTACCATTATAACTGTCACTAGAAAAATTATAAACATAACTGCCACAACTGACATTACAAGCATCCCACATTACGCTGGGTTGTGTTAGTGTAATATAAATGTAATTGGTTTTGTTGAATATTAGCTTAACGGCCTGCTGCTTGGACTAATAACGCCGAGATTGAACAAACCCTTTTTTGTTTTTTATATTTCTCGAATAAGCACGTTACTAACTTTTCCTTGCTCTCTCGTTTGAATGTGCCAACTCAAGGATGGTTGCCGTGCAAAGTAACACACTCACGCGACTTGTAAAGCTCCCTAACTGTACGGGGTTGTTGGCACATCCACAGGCACGCTCGGCTCACTCTGCTTGGTGTCCACGTTTTGACGCATACACGCTTGACGCCACTGGAAAAAGTGGACGCAATTTCCTACCCACCACCACCCCCACGCTGCGTAACAAGGCACCGCCGCTCTAGAACCTTGCACGATTCATCGACGCCACCACTGCCACCGCCGCCGCCACTGCCTCACTGTTTTGTCGGTGCAGTTATTGTGGGAACGACGAGCGTTGCTGAACGCCGAGAATGGAGACAGGAATTGCGATCATTTTGACCACCAAGGATTTTAACAGGCTGTTTATCAGCTCCTGTTTGCTAAAGCTCTTGGACTGTGGTCTTGATCTTTCTTAGCGTGTAGTGACCCCCCTCGTTTAAACGTCAGTGTACTTTTTGGGTGCAGTAGTTTCCAAAAGCAGTCACCAGCATCGCGACCTGTTCACTTCAGATTTCCTGCATGGTTGTAGGTAAACTGGGGGATACGGTAGTGTGAATGGCCTCGTGTTGCATTTAATGTTATCTCACACACTCCTTCTCATTGGTGATACTTCGTAGATTATTGTTGTGTATTCTAAGTGCACTGTGCTACAAACACAGCAATCTAAATTTGATTCCCAGCAACGACTCGCATCAGTGGTGATTGACATCCGAACCAAGTTCTAGGCCCCTTCCCCCTTGATCAACGGTTACTGTTCCAGCGTGGTGAAGTACGGTCAAACAACCGCCGTGATTGATATGGTGTGGGAAGGCTTTCATAAATCAGTGGCTTGACAAAGGGCTCAATAATTATGGCTTGATTCTAATACTAAATGTTGACCATTAACATTTAAATAATTTGACTTGCCGCTGTTATTTGGACAAAGTGAGCTTGCATTGAAATACACATTTTCATTGAAGACCAATGCATAATTAACGACTCTAAAAATGTGTATTACATTTTAAAATGCGTTTTTAGTTTCAACTATATATTTACCACGATGTTTTGTCTGCACGAGTTGTGAACTAATGATCAATTCAAACAATGTTTCTAAAGAAAAACCTACTTCAAGTTTGTGACAATGAACGCCATAAACGTTTTGATCAACAAAAGCTTGAGAGAGACTTTGAACCGTGAGCCACAAGCTCATTGTAATATCGTTGGGACGATGTTTCTTTGCGGGTGCAGACAGCTGTCGTTTGAGCACTCGACTCTACAGGAGACGCTCGTGAAGGAGTCGAAGACGAACAAGCGGCTCTCGATGGAGAACGAGGAGCTGATGTGGCGGTTGCAAAACGGCGAGGGTCTGGGCAGCCCGGGCAAGGGCTCTCCCTCCTCCACCTCCTCATCCATCTCCTTTCGGTTCCCTCCGTCCCGCAGCCCGGCCTCCATGTCTCCGTCCCGCTCGATCGCGTCGCCCGCTTTGTCCCCGACGCACGGAGGAGGAGGGGGGGTGCCCCACGGCACGCCGGCCAGGGTGCTGGTCTACCCGGCGCCATCACCGACTCACTCGCTGGGAACCCCCGTGCGCTCCTTGTCTCTCGCGTCGCCCTCCCGGGGCCACGCGTCGCCCGCGCGATCGCCGGTGTCGCCCTCACAGGCGGCGGTGTCGGCGCCGTCTCCCGCGCGAACGCCCGTGTCAGAGTGTGCCACCGACGTGCCCAGATGACGGACAGACGGTGCCGCGTTGGCTGCCGAGAGCCCCCCCACAGCCTTGTCCGTTTGCTTTAAAAAAAAAAGAAACCTATTTAAAAGTAATTTGGGCAGAACTTAATCCTTGGCAGTGATGGGACTGTGCTTGCATGTGCAGGTGCAAGTGCTTTAAGATGAGAGGGGTCTTTTAATGAGGTTCCTGCCTTCCAGACTTTACTCATCGTATGTCACCGTTGTTGCTCAGCTCAGGAGTGTCTTCTTTCACTTTTTAAAGGAGGATGGTGGAATGTGCTGCACCCAGGCTATGTCCACTCGCCCTTCAGTTTTTGTTGTTGTTTCCTCTATGCCACGTAGGGCTCCGTTGCGGATCAATTGCGGGAATCTCTTGCCGAAGACGATGCACTACAGACAGCCTAACGTCCGCACGCAGCACATTTGACTGCGTCGCATTATATGAAACGCTCAGTACAGCAAAATGGGAACACGTTTTCTTCCAAAGCCATCAGCATGCCGTGCTTTAACATGCTTGTGTTCAAGGATACCTTGGTGGTATTTCGAAATGCTAAAGTTCTAAAAGTTATGAACGAACGTCTGCCAGTGATTTTTCGAAATTATCGTGACTCAAACAATTGAGTAAATAGCTGTAATTTTCACGTGGCAGAATTGACTTGGAAATGTTTTATTTTGAAGCTACAGCACAAACACACGGATGAAAATTAAAACATTAGTATCACTTTAAGAGCAGAATTAGTGGGGATAAGGAATTCTGATAGTTTCCAACCTCTGTAATGAATCAGCGAGCATCTTTTTACTACAGCTAGTATATGCGGCTAGACTATTTTGTGTTCACAAAATGAGAACATAAAAAGCGTATGTTGCATACCTACCTGGTACTGAAATGAAAACAATTACAGAATCTCACAATCATCATTTTGCTTGGACAAATTGTAGCCCATAAGTTTCCACGAGTCTCTTTATTAATGGACAAATCACCGATGAGAAAACGTGTTGTGTTTGGAATCATTCAACTGGCAGAAATTTTCCAAAAGGAGTTGCCAGGGATTGTATTGTTCGGTTGTATTGCACTTGATCTATATATACCGTATATATAATGCGCATTAAATATATTGTATGAGTAATTTATTTTGCCAGCTTTTGCGAAGCTTCAAACAGTTCTGGATGTTTGTTTAAATTCCCAACTCATGCAGGATACAGTTCATGTTTTTGACTCGTGTGTAAGGAATTTATTATTTCACAACATATGTTGGAATTTACTTTCGTCAGCCCATGTAATGCTGTACATTTGGTCAAAGCGATCTGAAAATCCTGCCTCTTTTGTCAAAAACACTGCATTTTAATGCGTGATGTGATTTTTGCAGGTCGTGTAAGAAAGCAGTACATGATTTAAAAAAGGAAACTAAACCTCGAATTAATTTAGACCTTGTGTCTGTGGGTTGTTAGTATATATATTGCATGAACTTACAGAAACATTTTCGATAGCGGGTTACTGATTGGATGAGACCGCATAATTGCTGTGGTTGTGTTTGCAAAAAAGGAAAATGTCTTGAACAGGAAACCACATTTAAAGGCGAAAATAGTGGGTTATGGAAAATTGTGTCTGTTCAGTAAACATTACTGTCAAAGAGGGCTATATTTGGGACATAAATGTAAACCAGGACCGGAATGTTGATTGTAGTTGCATTTAAAAACGTGCAACAGTAATTTTAGGGACCCCTTTTTAAATTGAAATGAAAGTTCGCAAATGTGAATTCAAAAACTAAAGTAAATAATTAGCGATTCATTTCAAATGGAGGTTATCTTTAAGGCGCATTGGGCATTAAGAATACCGTTCATCTTCACAGTCTACAACTACCGCTTTACTTGGGTATGTCTCGACTTTAAATCATATTCATTTGCCCTTGAACTCAGCCAAAAACTATATCATTACAAATAAAATAAACCTTCCAAAGGGGTGTGTATTGCTTCTTTGTGGAATGCGCATCCTTGATTATATTACAGTGTTACTCTGACATCTTCAACATGTTGTACTTATAAAAGTACAGTGGGAGATCGATCAGCCGCACGGCTGGATATTAAGTCTGTGGGATTAACAGGGCAATGGAGTCCGAGATCTGCTTTAAGGATTAACTGCACACACAGGAAACACGTTCAGCGCATACCTCAAAAACTATTAAAACTGCGGGTTCATCTTCTTGGTTCTTTCGGTAAAGTCACGTAGAAGGGAAGTAATAAAATAATAAAAATAAAACATAATAAAATAATTCTCACGACGTTTCGGCCACAACGCAAGCAGCCGTCCTCAGGTGAAAACCAGGTCTGTCGGGGAGACAGCGTCTGAGGACGGCTGCTTGTATTGCTTGCGTTGTGGCCGAAACGTCGTGAGAATTATTTTATTGTTTTATTTTTATTATTTTATTGTTTTATTTTATTGTTTTATTATGTTTTATTTTTATTATTTTATTACTTCCCTTCTACGTGACTTTACCGAAAGAACCAAGAAGATGAATCCCTGCAGTCACAAAAGCTTTAAATCGAAAACTACGGGTGTTTTGCGAATCTCTTGCACGTGAGCTTAACTGTAATATTCCTAACCCACACCCCCACCCAAAAAGATCAGCCAGAGTACGTATTGTATACGAGAAATCTATAACACAGTCGACTACAGAAATATACAGCCCCTTCAAGTGGCACAGCACGGTCTGGCATGTGCCATGATGCAAGGAATGAAATTGAGACGCGTCACCCACCACTTTGGTGGTGTCTGGGCCCTCCCCTCTGACCCCTGAACCTCGGGTGCAGCTGCATGATCTGCACGCTTGATAGCAAACGCCGCCTTTTAAAATAAATTATGCCCACGGGTCTGGAGGGATTTAATTCTCCAAATCGTATGGGTCCCGTGGGACGCACAACAAACCCGCGTGTGAAAACGAATTGTGTGCGCACGGCCAATTGATTGGTCCACTGAGAAGCGGTTTAGCATTGGCTCCGAAATTAAGGTCCCTTTTGTAATATCAACGTCCGATTCAAAAGGCAACCTTGATAACTCTGGCATTTTATATGTACACCGTTCTATGGGCCATCATCTTCCAGGCCCTTCGGCCTTCGATTCGAAGCTCGCGTTAGGCTCCAAAGGGTTCGAATGAGTAAAATCTAAAGGAGGAAATGAATAGACAATAACATTAAGGAGCATTTTTCATTCGTAAAAAAACAACGTACAGTATTAGCCGTACACAATGAGCAAACTTGTTAGAAAACAGTACCCTCGTGTATTAATGTATAGACCCAGAGTGTTTATGAATTGAGCATGGCAATTTTTTTTAAAACCGAAATTGACACAACGCAGTTTTTTTTTACAAATGTAAAAATAATATATTTTTCCCGAACTTCTTCCTTCCCCCGCTTAGGTGACTCATTTTTAAAAATCAAATAAAATTGGCCGACTTGCGACGACGCCGCGCGGTACAGAGAAGAGACGTCGTCGTTCAAAATGTATTCGGAGTCGCGTGGGAGGATGGGTCCCAAATGAAGGCACAATAACAATAGGTTTAACCCTTGGCAATAAAACAGGAAGTGTTAAGATGTCCAAACACCAAGCAGAAACCTTGTGCCAGAGGTCGCAAACGGGTTTTGATTCCGTACCCGGCCGCACCAGGGTCGCAAACGGGTACCTGTGCCCGGCCGTACCCGATTGCGACCTCTGGGATGAAGCCATGTTGCAGGCGCGGGTGGGTTGATTCTAGGAACTTGAATTGTGAGAAGAGACAAGACGTTGGGAAATGAGTGACAAACAGTTACTCACCAGTGACTCACGGTCTACCCGGTCGCACCAGGGTCGCAAACGGGTACCCGTACCCGGGTACGGGTAGCAGTCAAAATGCAAACAAAAAGAGACAACTCTGATAATGATATGCACTGTGCTTGAAATTGATTGGTCCACACCCGAGACGGCTTTTCTTAGAGCAAACATGATCCCTTGTATAAAGGTGTCAGTTTTGGTGCCAGATAAAAGGGTCAAAACCTATTATTATATCTTGCTACTGGCAAAGGAGGTCTCATAATGTAATCTCAACACTTGTTTTATTGCCAGAAAGGGTAAACCTATTATTTTTGTCTTTATACTTTGATACTGGCAAAAAGGTCTCATTTTGAAATCACAATCTTTATTGACATTCAAAAAAAAATGTACATTTAAGTGAATATTGATGTTTCACAAAAGCTCTGCGCTCAAGAAATGGGTTTAAACAAAAATAAAACATCCGGACAGAGTAATAGACAAACTCACATTTGCACAGTTATAGTATGATGACGATGATAAAACAATGCATTAAGTCTTACCCAAAGATGTCAAAACCAGCCCACAGTTTGCCTGTTTGAACAAATTCTGCCGGATAACATTGGTTCCAAAGGCCAGTCGCTTGATGAGTTGAAATACATTATTTCGTGTAGAGGGCCAGACAAATGCAAATTCTGTTATTTTAATCACCATAATTTGTTATCTTGATTAATACTGACAACAGAAAAATGCCAAACAAGGGCACTTAAAGTCTTGGGCAGGATGTGCGCTAAATGGCGGTGGGGTTCATGTAAAGATTTATTGCCTGTTATCGATTGTCTGAGCTACAGTCATCGATTTACCCAGCATGGCCTTTGTCTGATGGAGGGTGTCAGGTTGTATACATCACCTAACATCGCGGGGACGGTGCTCGACTATCATTTTAACCACACTGCGTAATTTTGGGAAGTACATTACATGCTCAATTTACCTTGCCACGTGGAGAACGTTTTAAAATTGCCGAGATGGACAAATGACATCAAGGGCTGTTTCAAGGAGAATGGCTTCCCCTCCCCCACCACAACCACCTCCTCCATGATGATCACGACGGTACATTTATTTATCTTAGTTTGAAATCGCATCAGGATCATACCCACATGAAACACAAAATCATAATTTGCGTTGTGGAGAATATAGGTTATGACGCAGTTAAGGGGCCAAAACGTCACCTTCATATATCTATCTCCATATAAAATTTTTGTATGTACTTTTACACAATGCTTTTAATCAGAATGAGAATATGTATACTGGAGGAAGCCGATTACATATAAAGCTCCTTTTCACAGATGTACAATAGACCCTACGGCCATTTGGAAGTGCATAATATCAGCAGCGTCGATTCAGTACAAGCGAACTCTGGAGCGCTTTCGACATGCAGTGTCTTCATCAGCAGTCAGGCTCGCTTGAATCAATAATGGTGAACTGCCAGGCAAGGACGCCTCTCGCTGCCCTTCAATCTCATAGTCCTACACCACACAGCCCTGCACCACACAGCCCTGCAGCGCACAGCCCTGCACCACATAGCCCTGCACCACACAGCCCTTCAATCTAACAGCCCTGCACCACATATCCCTGCACCACACAGCCCTGCACCACACAGCCCTGCACCACAAAGCCCTTCAATCTAACAGCCCTGCACCACATATCCCTGCACCACACAGCCCTGCACCACACAGCTCTGCACAACCTAGCCCTGCACCACACAGCCCTTCAATCTCACACATCCCTGCACCACACAGCCCTGCACCACACATCCCTGCACCACCTAGCCCTGCACCACACAGCCCTTCAATCTCACACATCCCTGCACCACACAGCCCTGCACCACACAGCCCTGCATCATAAGCCCTGCATTACACAGCCAAGCAGCAGCTGTAGCAGCGACAGCAGCTGCAAGTAGAGAACTGTCGAGGACCAGAGGCGCTGGCTCGAGAGTCAGAAGAGGCTTGAAGGCGACAAGCGGCGACTCGGGCAGAAGCAGTTTGAGGAGCCAACAGCAGCGGCTCCAGGAGCAGCAATCAAGTGCAGCCACCGCAGCGAACAACGGCAGCTGCTGCTGCAGCTCAATGTGTTCAATGAGCATCATCAGCAGGGGCTCCATTGGGAGTAAAAACTCCACGGGGAGAAGAAACAGCAGTTCAAGCAGTATCCACCAGTGCCATGAAGTTGGGCCTGGAATCATAAGCTATAACCTATTTTTTGGTTTACCAGGTAAGGTTCACTGAGTTATATAGCTCTTTTTCAGAAAGCTCAACGAAGTGCCTAATCATGTGGAAATGTATAGCAGCCTAATACTCTAAATGCGTGATGTTGATTTTTTAATGTGGAGGGAAAAACCGAGGCCCTGGAGAAAAATCCACGCGATCACGGGGAGAGAAACACGCAAACTCCAAACACAGCAGGCGTGAGGGTCGGGATCGAACCCCCAACCTCCTGTACACCAGGCGAGGAAGTTAACATTTCCCCACCGTGGTGCCCTTTGACCTATTTTTATTTTACCACGTAAGGTCCACAGCTCTTATTTGTTAATAATAATGACCAAACATTGTGTGCATCTTAGAATAAGGACAAAAACACCAAAGTGAATTTGTCTATGGGGCAGAAAAAACAGTTTTTTGTGCCATTTGCTTTTTAGCAAAGTATTAATACAAATGGGTTTCACACAAATGGTCGAACAGCATATTTCGCCTGGTGGGATAAACTGTGGGTATCCCCCACCAATTCCAAGATGTTTGGCCATCGTGAAAGAGAAGACCAAATATTCTCTGGAGAGGCTCTCCTTAGATTTCTGCAGTGGCGTGAGAAATATCTTACAGGGCTGCACCCTTATCTTAGTAAATAGTCAAGTTCTTCTCAAACTCGACTGTGAAACGATGTGTTCCGAATCTCTGAGTCCATGTGTGTGTGTGTGGCTCATTTTGATGGAAGCATGCAACGTAATTTATTATCGTGGCCTTGTTTTGATAAGCGTTATACCAGATGTATTGTGACCCCGATTGAATTATCTAAAATTTTGTTGTTTTTAAAGGGAGGCTTATTTCAAACATAAATAAATATGCAAAGGGAAAACGTTAGGGGTAAATTAATTTGGGGTCAAGAGATCTTGAGCAGCCTGTACAATAGAACTGTTT